TTCGGTAGGCCAGACAATTATGTTATCCATCGAGCCCATGCGGTGTTCATTCCCATCGAAACCTCAAGTTTGCAGCGTGAGCTTTATCTCCAGACTCCATGTGACGTGACATATGCCACGTGCCACGAACCGCGAAACGCACCCGGTTTTCCGTTCAGTGCATAAACTACTTCAGAAGTCCACAAATTGTACTAATATTAATTAAAACTTCGTATGAAAAAAAAAAAAGATGTTAAGACGTAACAAAGCTTTTATATTAACTTGTTTGTTTGGAGTGATGGGATTTGTGGAACAACGACAATTAACGTTGACGAAAATAATCCCTGCAAAAAGGGGGAACAAGGGGACAAAGGACGAGCACGGATATCCAAACCATAGCTATACACTGTCTTACTAAAACCGTGCAGTACAGCCAAAGCTACAGCGGAGAGAGCGTATGCCAACCTGTTCAAGAGGAGGGAGAGGATCAATGGGTGAGAAGGGCTGAGATTCCCCTCTCTTGAACAGGCTGGGATACCCTCTCTCTCCCGTAGTTTTGGCTGCACTGCACGGTTTTAGTGAGACGGAGTATAGGTGACTGGTGAATGACCGAACAAAAACCCACCTGGTCCTGGTATCGAACTAGGGACCTCTCCATTTCTAGTGGAGCGCTCTACCAACTCAGCTAACCAGGAGTTAGGCGTCAGTAGAACAAGCGGATTTTATCAGCTACCACCAGTCTAACACGAACAATGTTGAACGGCCTGCGTTTTAAGGTTATTATGATAATGCATTTAATGCAAAGGTGCAAGCGAGCTGGACAAGAATGACGGAAATAATCCCTGGAGAAAGGGAACAAGAGGGACAAAGGACAAACACAAATCTCTAAACACAGCCAGGTGACTGGTGCGCGACCGAAAAAATCCGCCTGGTCCTGGTATCAAACCAGGGACCTCTCCATTGCCAGTAAAGCGCACCAGTCACCTAGCTGTGTTTGGAAATTTGTGTTTGACCTTTTTCCCCTTTGTTCCCCTTCTCCTGGGATTATTTGTGTCATTCTTGTCCAGCTCGCTTGCACCTTTGCGCTTAATTGCATTATCAAGTTAACGTTCTAGATTTAGTGTCAGTTCAAACAGGACACTCATGATGGTAAATCTGTGACTGGTATAGGAAAAGAGAACGCAACGGAAGACAGAAGAAGAACAGGCAGCGTTGCGTGTTCTTTTTCTGTCTTCCTCGACCTTCCTTTTCCTACCCCAGTCTCAGGTTAACCGTCATGTTCAACCTACACCACCTGGCCTGCACTGACTATTTTTTCGTTAATCGTATCTAAAGCAGTTTTAATCTCCTTTGCGTATTGAGGCGTTGCCTGTTCTTTTTTTTTTTCTTTTTTTTTTTTGTCTTCCTTTGCATTTCCCTTTCCTACCAGTCTCAGGTTTACCATCACGTCCAACTTACACCAGCTCGCCTGAACTCTGACTATTTCTTCGTTAAGGACACTTATGCTTCTGAGTGAATGGAGAACCTATAGGCTTCTTTCTATCTGTAGATAGATATACAAGAGGCTACACCGAATAGTAAGATAACACCGACTCTGCCGTAAGCGCCTACAAAAACCGTTTTAGTGTTCTGGCAAGGCCTGGTTCATAGCGAGTTCGTTTCACACGCACTGGCACCGTTCGAGTTCTCTCCCAGAATGCATCGCACTCACAAAGTGTTGCACGGAAAACTGGACTCAAACGAACTCGCCCAATGCACCGAGTGCAGAAGACTGATGCTGCCGCCATCTATGTTGTAGAAAAGGTACCGACTTCAAACCGAAACTAGTGTCTTTCTGTTCGGAGTGATACGTGGGAATGCGAGAGTGCAGTCGCTACCAACGTTTATCTACAAACGTTGGTCGCTGCAAGCAGCTCGGCTGTCTACAAAGCAGCTGGTTGCGATCTTTCAATTCTTATAACCGTTTACACTGAAGAAAACTGATGATGCTGTCCGAGCAGAAGCTTGATCCGTTTGAGCATGGTATTATGATTGAACCACTGAAAGGGTACGGCTTAAAACTAGCCTGTTGGAATATCCGGCAAAACTGGGACTTTCGATTTGGTATAGGTGGATCAGATATTAGCCTTGGTGAGGGCGTCGAGAACGAGAGCTTTCTCGAACAAAATACGACGGGGCAAGTTAGCTGACGTAGGTAAACGTGAAACATGATGATATTGCCCAAGCCTCGGGTAAAGTCACTATGTTTAGCTTTCTCTGATGCTTATTGGGCAGTCAGAGGTTTCTGCAGGGGGAGTTTTGTCGACAAATGTTAAATTTTTCACCCGCAAACGGATGGTGATAGATATCTCGGGGGCCGCTCTTACGTTTGTTCTGAGCATTCCTTTACACACTGGTATATTTCAGCGTTTGTACGGCAACAGAGCGATTTAAAACCTGCAAATAAATCACGGGTTGTCAATTGCTTCCTTCGGGAAATAGCAGACGCTCACAATTCAAGCTCGCGTTTGATTTGGTTGCCCGCGGGACGCGATTTCTATCAGAAAATCTACTTTCTTTTTCCGTTCGGTTCCGTGACACATCGTAGCAGACGAACCCTCGTCGTCTGCTCCCGCTCCTCGCCGGCCCCGCCGGAGCGAGGCATGACGGGATTGCATTTTGGCGCACTCCCGATTTTCTCGGTGCAGCGAGTGCATGCACGCGTGGGGTGTCAGCGCTGAAACGAACTCGGAAAGTGCAACCACTCGTGGAGTGCCGGCCGAAACGAACCCGTTCCACGCTGCGAGTGGGCACGCGTGGGCACGAGTGCCGTGAAACGAACTCGCTATAAGGCAGTCGTTTTCGGTCGCTCCGTTTCTCGAAACTGTCACATCAGTGCAACAGCTGGCGCCATCCATGGGCGGGGTTGCCAACTACGTCGCTCTTTTTCGCCCATTCCCCTTTTCCTTCACCCTAAAATAAAGAAAATCCGTCCTCGTCTTTTATGTTCTTCCCTTATTTATATTTTACCCCTACCAGCACGCTCTTCATTCCAAGTATACAATCTACAGTTCCCCCCCTCCCTACAAGGTTCTTCCAGTGATATATATTCAAACATTGATTGATTGATCAGTCGATTGATTGCTGTGTTTATTGACTGACTGAGCGGGTGATTGATTGATTGATTGGTCTTCATAATATATTTAAACATTGATTGATTGATCAGTCGACTGATTGATGGATTTATTGACTGATTGATCTGGTGATTGATTGATTGATTGATTAATTGATTGTTTGTTTGTTTTTATTTCAGACATGGCCGTTCTCATTCAACCAGAGGCTCCCATGTCCAGGAGATGACGTCGTCCAGTCAAAGGCCCACCGTGACGTCACTTCCTGCTCTGGTTTTCATAACGAGCCGACGGGCGAAAGCACGCCCCGTCAGCACCAGTCGCAGTTGTACCACCACTATCACCCCCATCGATCACAGCATCATCATCATCATCAACATCAAACCAGCGACGATCCTCTAGAATCTTTTCTGGACTATTTGAATAGCTCGTCTGGAAGAATTTCATCGTGCAAGTAACATGGCACTCTAGTTAGTTGTAACCAGCGTGGTTGTAACTTACCCGAAGAAAAAAACAACCAAATGTTTCTTTTTCTGACAAAAGAAACATTGAATCAGAGAATTTTTCCTGGATATGTGTTCTCAGACACTTTCAAGCAACGATCCCAATAGAACCTTTCATTGCTTGATCGTCTCTTCAGAAGTCACCCGACAATGTGTGTGAATAGATCGGTCGGTGAGGATATTTTGACGAACCAAAATGCCTTTTGCGGACAAATTGTTGAAAGATTGTATTTTAAAGCTATTTATAAACTTATACAGACAACAAAATTTATTTGGGTGTCGCCTTGACCGGTTGTCCTATACTTGTATACTTAAAAATAAAAAAAAAATAGTTGCACATCTAAAAAACAAATTACTTTTTTTTTTCTTTTTTAAGATATGATGTACAACGCCATATTGTTGACTCCAGATTGAATGTGTCTGTTGTGAACAAAATAACGCCACAGCCTATCTTCACTCCATCTCATAAACGTATTCAGTAAAGACAAAAGAATAGGACCGTGAGCCTACCTAAGCAGAATGCTTCTGATTGTACGAGAACTCGTGCGTCGAAAACACTTTCCAAAGCCATGGGTTCGTACCCATGTCTTAGTGTAGATGTTTCTGAGATTGAACATAGAAATATCAAATAATATTATATTAAAGCCCTTCAAACAACTGCTAGCATTTTGTTATATCAGTGTCCTTAACATACCGTTCAAATAAAATCGCTTGAGATCAAGCATTGCCTTGTAACTTGTAAGTATGTCAGCGACGGGTTCCGGTCTTATGTACTGACTTGCGCTGAAAGTGCGCAAGTGAACAACTGAAAGTGGGCTGCGCCTATGACTTCAAACTAATGCGGCGAAGCCAGCTTGCGGTGGCGAGCTACGAAAACGTGCAATGTTTTATATTTTATACCTTCCTCGAGCATCGTAGTCAATGCAGTGCGCGAGTGTGTAAGCTATTTTGGCGCTTATAGTACTACGATTCCCCTGTTAAGTGTGCTCAAAAAAAAATATTTATTTGCCCGTGATTTTGTTTTATTAAACGCTTTTTTATGTGCAACGCGTTTAGCTCGTGCTGTAATTAAAGTTTGATATTTCTCAATCGCCCATTCGTTTCTTTTTTTTTTATCTTATGCCCTTTTTTCTGTGTAACTTGGTTGCTGGAACCTACTTGTGTTATGTTCCACCGCGTGAACGTCGTTATCGGGTAGCATACTCTTCTACTGAACTTATGAAGAACTCGTTAAAACAGCCGATGCTCGCAGCAACCATCTTGAAACACCTTTGCATAGTGACCTTCTTGTTTTAAAGACCTGCAACAAACTGACCGCAAATGACATCACCTAAATTATTTTTTATAGATATAAATTTTTTGTGAAAAAGACAACGTTTCCGGGGGTACATGTCATGTTTTCTTATCATTTTTTTTTCTGTAATCCGACTTTTAAAATTAAAAAAAAGGTGTTGTATTACCGAGTGGTTAAAATGAATATTATCCACTACATAACTAAGCGTATGTGGCGACAGAGGCTAAAAGAGAATGCGCGTGGCATGCGACAGCGCATGTTCAAAAAGTATAGACTTTTTTTTTTTTCAAAAGTTAATAATGTAATACAAACGCTTAATTATTTGATTGAGAGGACAAGTCCACGGCAGCTAAGTTCGTTAACACTTGACGAACGAACAACATTATTTCTTAATTCCTCGAAGTTTCTGGAGTACATTGACATCAGTTGGAAGGTCCTCCAGTCCAGCTTGGGTGAAGCCTTTGACCGCGGTGAAATCTTGGCAAACCAAGGCGCGGAAGCTTCCTCTTGGGACCTTAAATAAAACAAGAGTAATATAGTCTTAAGATCCAACTAATTGAAAACTAAACAGAACCTAACGTACCCAAGTCTTCCTTCTCTTCATTGTAAAACGAAGCGTCAGAAGTGTCCACGTGAGCTTGGTGAGTGCCCGAATGTCGTGCCTCGTTAAGTGCCTCAAACTTCCCCAAATCTGCTGAGTCAGGAACCTTGACTGTCGCTTGTTTCTGGTTCGGATAGCGGGGGCCGGTATCTGGAACGACGCAGTCAGAAGTGGCGGGTACCACCAAGAACTGCCGACTGTCCTGGTTAAAGAAGACTTCCATGACCTTTGTGTAGGTCTTCGTGGACGTTCCGTCGCTGGCATGGTCTTGATCTCTGACATCTTGAAGCGGCGTTTTTTCGGTTGTTTCGACGGCGTGGTCGTTGTCCAAGTCGGTCTGACTAAGAGTTTCGTATTGGTCGGCTAGCTCATCTTCGGAGGTGTCCTGGGAATACTCCACAAGCTTGTGCTGTCTCTGCGACTGGTTATCTACGTGTAAATCGGTTTCTTCGGTGGTTGAGAACTTTTCGAGACTCGTGGTTGTTGTGCGAAGGTCAAGCGGTACGTCAACTGCATTTTCGCAACTTGGTGAAGTGGGTGCCGCAGGTGACGTAGAAACTGTGACTAGGCCGCGTTCCTCGGTTGATTGGTCTGTGACTGAATCTTCGGTGTCAAAGAGTACTTCATCCCCTGGTTCATTATTTGCTGACTGCTCCACTCGGTAAAGATGACCAACTTTATCTTGATAAGGTTGACAAGGTACCCCGACCTCTGTATTCGAATTTGTTGAGATTGTTCCAGGTGTAATTTCAGGACACAAACTAAGGTTAACTGGCTGTTCAGTCTTGGAGTCTTCAAGAGGTTGAAGAACGTTTGTTTCCGGGCAGGTAAGCTCAGTGACGCAACTAAATCCCAACGACATTGTTTCGTTGTAAGAATCGCACTCGTCGCAAGAATCTGTACAGCTTCCAGAGGACAACGTGTAAGAGCCCAAATCTTCGGTGTCCGACGAACCTAATGTGATCTCAGAGTTCTCGTCCGTACTCTCGAAGTAATCCTCTTCGTCGGGCTTCACTAGCATCCACAGTGGTGTGGCTGACTGCTGAACGCCTACGCTGGCTTGACTCGCGGAGTAGGCATGTTCATCAGAGACATCATCTTCTGTTGATTTCCCGTCAGCAATATCTGTTCCTAGTAGCACGCTGTCGTGCTGACTGCGGGCGCCTTCACTGAGTGTGTCATCACAGATGGCTTGTTGTGGTGTTTTCTGTCCGCAAGGAACCTCTGAATCTCCCGTACCTGCCGACTTCGGACTGCCATCGGACGTGGCTGCGACATGTTCGTAGATTATGGCTTTGCTGGAATTTTGTTCTTCCCAGTCTGGTATCACTTGATCATCGCTTGAGGACTGGCACTGCGGAGGCATAAAACCAGGCGATGTCACTTCAAGTACAGACGTCGCTCTGTCGCCCATGTCAGTCAATATAGACGCTTCCGTGGCTTCTGGCAGTTCTTTCTCAAACGTAGCGTCCACGGAAATCAGGTCTTCCTTTGCTTCATCCTCTATTTGAAGAACTTCGTAGTCGGCATGAACTGTCCGTTCCTGATTCACCATCGGGAGCTCGCAATCGAAGGCCACCACGTCTTCAGTGGTACAAGGCTTTAAGTCGAAATCAGGTCCGAAGCTGTTGTCGTGATAGATGCTTGCTTCGGCAACGTCGTGCAACTCAAGTCCGCTGCATAGAATCACTTGATCCTCGCACAAAGGCAGACGTTGCGGCACAGCAGCAAGCGCACGCATCTCTTTTCCCGGTATTAGCTGTTTCCCGACATCATAGAAAGAAGGCTCTTTAGCCTCCTCAGTCAGAACGTCAGTCTCGTTTACGAGCTGATTTCTCGCACCAACGTCATAAGTCTGAAGTTCACCGCACCTCGAGTCGTCGATGGTGCTCCTCGTCATGTGAAGACCGTGGTTTTGCATGACCGTCCTACGGCCGAAACTCAACACTCTTTCCCAGAGAACTTGGTCTCCAGACGTGGGAGTAAAGCGTGTCAACGTCTGATGCACTTGAGCATACTCTGTTTTTACAATCTTAGCAGTGTTGTCGATGTCTTGCTGCTGTCCTCTGTGGGATCGTACCATGTCGTCTTCTGAGGGAGTAACCGCAGTCGCTAGCTTATTTGTACTCTGGGTGTACTCAGAAACTTGAAGCGGACTTTCAGTAAGGGCAGGCACCGTGGACACGTGACCTTCTGAAACCTCGGTAGGTCTGGGCTCATCTTCGGGTAAGCTTCCGTCAACTGGAACCAACTGTAGCTCGTTTCTGGTGTCTTGTTGGCGCGCGACAGGGAAGGAACTTCCAGCTTGTCTGTCCCCTACGTCTGTCGAGCAACCTTTAGCTTGGAAATGTTTCCAACTACGAACAGGGTTGCTCTCGAACATCTCGAAGATCGGGACGGCTGGTCCATCTTTGAAAACAAGGCTCTTCCCGCCAGTCTGATGAAACCACGAGGTGGCAGGGCGGACGTTAGACGAAGGAGACGAAACAACTCCCGAATTAGAACATCGTAAGCGGCTCGTTGAGACAGCGGCTTCTGGGTTCAGCGCGCTAACGGCAGGCTTAGGCAGCTGTGTCGCAGTCGACGCGACTGCTTTTTCGGCGAAATTGGACGGCTTCAATTGCGGTCGATTTAACGGTTCGCCGTAGGGGAAGGGCAACGAAGTGTAATTGCCGACTCCAATTGGACGTCCGAGAGAGATCGCCTCGAGAAGTTTTTTAGAGCCACCATGTTCTTGTCCTTGAGGAAATCTGTCACGGTTTCTTGGTGCTTCGAAGCGAGCATGTTGCGCTTCTTCCGCGGTTTCCATCTCGTTGTCCAGCCTTCTTGCCGACCTCTTGAACGTCTGCGAAAGATAGAAGCTATTCAGTGTAGGATAATGCACAACAATCTCGTTTTCAGTTTGCTGCTACTCTACAACGCTCAGTTCAAAGCAACGCGTATTTTGACGAAAAAGATACATCTTTATTTGTTTTATTATTACGCTACAATACAAATCACACACACACACACACACGTACACACACCACATATATATTAGGGTGTTTTAAATCACCAGGCTCGATCTAAAATGGACCGTAAAAATCGACGCCTGCATGTAGCAATCTGAACTTTTTGTCAAAGGTGTATTTCCCAGGTCGGTTTTGTCTTGTAAAATTACAAAGCGTAGTTCTAGCTCTTTCTGTAAAAAACAGGGCCAAGAAACTTACCAAGGTCAACGGTGGGCGACGACCCAGACAACCAAGTAGAGTTAATCTTTGGTTAAAAAATAAATGCAGACAATAAAAGCGTTACTTAAAGAAGTAGAAAACTCGTTTGCATAACGACGGCGCTTTTGCTGTCAACAGATTTCGTCTGTGTGTCGTCTGCTTTTTTTTTTCGCTGGTCGGCTACGCCTTACGCTCTTTTGGCCCGATCGTAAAAGAGCAAAACATGAAGATAAAAGGTGTGTGCGTCAGAGGAGGAGGGAGAAGGAATGCCTATGCTGTCGGAGTGCAGTGCATGCTATGAGCTTATGCCGCCAATCAAATAACGCCGACTGCGCATCGTCACGGCTTTCATCGTCTTTCTTTGAGCCCATCCTTCGAGGCTGGTAGACCGTGACAATGCGCTTTTAACCTGTCTGTATGCATTTGTGCGTGTCTTTCACCTTTGACTGCTCTCTGACTCAAGTATAGGAAGGCCGTCTGCTATCTTGGCCCGATCCAGACGGCACTACAGTCGATGCGCGGGTGTAAAAAAGGAAAACATAAAGATAAAAGGAGTGCGCGTCAGAGGAGGAGGGAGAAGATGGCGCTACCTTTCGTATTCAGGGGCGTTATTCCGACGCTGCTCCTGACGCCATCTATCAATACGCGCGCCAAACGTGCCCCGCCGCTCGAGTCAGTCGTCTGCGTCGCCGCCCGCCGTTGACCCTGCCAAGTGTTTTGGCCCTATTTTTTTACAGAAAAGGAGTTATGCTTTGAAATTTTACAAAAAACAAAAATCGGACCTGTTAAATACACCTTTGACGAAAAATTCGTGCAGGCGTCGATTATTACGGTCTATTTTAGATCAAACCTGGTGACTTAGGACCAAAAAAAGATATATATATATATATATATATATATATATATATTGCTACCTGTGAATATTTTCTCACACCGTTAAGTAACTGCAAATATATATATATATATATATATATATATATATATATATATATATATATATATATATATATATATATATATATATTTGCAGTTACTTAACGGTGTGAGAAAATATTCACAGGTAGCAAGCTGACGGCAACTCCTGAGCTTCGCCATACCCACTTGCATAAAGATAGGAAACATATCTGAACAAATTTTGTTGTACGCACCTGGGAGTATACTTATCTTGATATTTAAGCTCCGTCTTGACAATAAACCTGCAGTAATCGCTTTGTAGTGGTCGGTAAAAGAGCAAGTGCCACCACTCGCACGAATGGAAGACAGGAAACCTCTGTCGTCTGCTCAAATCAAAACTTGGTTGTTCTTAGGTTTTTGTTAATATAATACATTACACCAATATTTTATTTAAAACATGGCTTAAATAATGTATCAGTATTTTAAAGAGCTTTTTTTTTTTAATGACCTGTGAAACTTTACTGTTGTTCTCAACTAATACGCAACTACACGTGTCAGAATTACGGCTGGCTGGCCAAAACCGGAAGCAGGATCCGACACTTCCTGTCTCCGCGCTTCGCCTCCCGAATGGCGCTGCACGGCTGTGGGCGGCAGTTGTGGCTCCGTCTCTGATAATGCTCGCGAGTCTTTCTTCTAGTCGCAAATCGGTTGCTCAAGTGTGCACGAGTCGCCCAAGACCCACTCTTCGAAGTGTAAGTCTTCAATCCTTCACCTCGTTCCCGCTACAGCGACTAAAATCGCAACGAAAACCCATGCGGTGGGTCTGCCCGTCCATCCTGTTTTAGATTTTTTTTTTTTCTCGATTTCCTTTTAAAATACTTTAACCACCTCACCTCACCCGTTCACGCGTTTGTTTTGTCCTATTACTCCTTGTGAAGGATGCATTATTCAAAAGTGCGCCCGTATGGGAAGCGGTCCGCTGTTCGTCTGGGGCCCCGCAAACATCTGAAGAATCCAGATAATAAAATGCGCGCTAAATAAAATAAATAAATAAATAAATAAGTGTGCTCCTCATCGCTCGGACGGAGGCGAGTGACCTTGCTTGGCTAGCTCTAGCTTTTTTGTTTTTAATAATATTTTTAAAGAAAGTTTGCGGTTTTTCACGGTTTACAAACGGGTCGGCCAAGACAAACATTGCAACGCGGTATCCTGCGTCTACACGAAGCCACTTTTGGTCGAAGCGCTAAAATAATCGCTCAGGCAAGCTGGATGCACCGAGCACACTGTGTGTTCGTTCCCTTCATAGTTTGTTCTCCTAATCTCTAGTATCCATCCACGAGCCTGAAATGCGTAATGAATACCCGTAACAAATTTGGTGGGTGGATGTCTGCAGTATTGTTCGATTGCAGGGTGCAAAAAAGAAAAAAAAAAAAAAAAATTCTTGCACGCTTTTTTTTTTTAATAATGCCGTTCCCTTGTGTGTAGTTATAATGCCTCTATTCCTTTACTTAGTCACAATGCTGACAGAGGCACTATCCACGCTTGCATCAGTCACACTTCAGCGTTTGTTCGTCGGGGCCACATTCCAAAGCAACTTTTTCGAGGTCTATCGTCGCTTGTTGCTGTTTGTTGGTTGTCTTTGCAACGCTGCAGCAGTCTCGTCGGCTAAGTGCGATAAGAAGGGTACTGGAGGTCGCGCTTATTTATCGTCTTTTTTTTTTTTTTTTTTTCGCATCCTTACCTTCTTTTGTATTTTGCCCAAGTTTCCTGTCCCTTCGCGAAGAGGCAGGTGTTTCCGGTCGCGCTGTAGAGCTCATCTCGTTAACTAGACTTTTTTTTGTGTGTGTCTGTGTTCCTGTTTTTTGGATTTTATCCTTCTTGTTTTCAGCTGCCTCTCCTCGAAAAAACGCTACCCCACGGACCCAGACCTAGATTGCATATCCTTGGAGCAACACACGATCAGCTTTATAGCGAACTAATTCCAAGAGCTAGTATCATTATAAAACTCGCACACCATGTTTTTTTTTTTTTTTTTTATTTATTTATTTACAACGAATTGACGAACTTTTGGGGCATCGAACTTCGATTAACCGCGTTCGTTTACCTGCCTCGACAATCTTTTTTTTTTTTATTATTTGTTTTTGTTTTGTTGTGACGCCTCCGTCGTGTTGTTGCGACAAAACGGTGCGACGCGTTTTACTGGCATGCGCGGGTAGTAAGTGGCTATTTTTGGGCGATGCGCTGCCGCTCGCTCCTCGCACACTCCTGTGTTTTCCGTTCTAAATGAGCGCGCAAACTCTTGCACGGGGAGCACGCACTCGCGGCCTCTAGGAAAGAACCGTCGCGCGGTCAACGTTTTGTTGTACGTGTTACCAGTAGTAGCTTTTGTATCCTGGAGGTGTCGCTTCTTGTGTGTGCTTTTCTCTCTCTCTCTCCCTCTCTCTCTCTCCTTTCCCCCGTGTTCATACCGGAAACTTTTCTGTGAGTCCTTATCGTTGTCCGTAATGGCACCGGACTACTCTGGGCATGCGCAGCCGCGTCTACAAAGTTACTGAGCGTGCGCGTCACAGTCTAATTGTGGGAATGGGCAGCTCTCGTCGTCTGCTTTTTCTTTGGGATAAAGGCACATCGTTAGCTCTATCGCACAAAGCTTCACAGTGCCTATGCTTTAGAGTTTAGTGTGGTTCGTGTGCAGAATTTGAGTCCAAATGTTACAAGAGCACACTGTAGACCAGCCGCCTCAAACTTTTTCTTGCCAATCTTGCCTGGGCGCTATTTTATTTTGCGATTAAACTATTGCAGAAAGACTATGTAAACAAATGAGTTGGTTGATGTTACGCATATTTAAAGAAAAAAAAACGGAGACAACGGACGAAGGAGACGTTTTGTGTTTGACCCCTTCTTCGTCAGTCGTCTCTGGTTTTTTTAACATGTTGAAACCATTGCAGTTTGGTTGTGTCAAATGTTGCATTCTAAATTCTGGTGCTGTTTCTCCATTCTGTCAACCCTTCCTGATCACCCACAACTACGTCCAAGTGTCTACAATCTAACGAATATGTCTACTGATGTTTGAAAGCATTGCGGCGTCATTTCAAGAGAACTTTGGGGATCTGGCGATTTGGAACCGTTATCTGCTTCAGAGTCACGTAAATCCCAGAGATAACAAATTCTGATATCTCCAACCCTTTGAAAGAGGGATCACTCACAAGTTATCTTTGTTCTGTTATCATTTCCTTGTACAGTGCCTGCTGCAAGACCATACCATGTTGTCGAACTGTATTGAAAGCTAGGGGGGAAGTGACATAACATGGTTTTCACTGTAGTGGTCCTCGAGAACAAATATTACTGTAAAACCCTTTATCTTCCTGGCCCCAAATTTTCGCGAATTAGGCAGTGGGGTCGTAATTTGCGACCATTGAGTTTCGCAAATCCTAAAGGCTGGAAGTCACCCCTCTAGACAATAAAAATATTTGCGCCCCCTATTTGCAAAGTTTCCAAGTCACGAAATTCGCGAACATTAGGGGTTTTAGAGTGTTAGTACATCTTTGGCAATGTCTAACATAAAGCAGCGTCTTCATTGTCACTGAGTTTACCTTCTGTTGCTTTTTGCATTTTGGTACAATTACCTAACCAAAAGAAACATTGGTTAGGTCTATAATCGGTGCTTCTCCTAAGTGTGGGTCTTTCCTGGTCGTTCTCTTAAAGCAGCTTCAACAAAATAATTGTTAATTTACAAACAAATATTGTTTGGAAATTAATCATACAGTCTTCTAGTTTACTGATATTGGCAGTAATGATTGTTACAAAGCTTTGAGGAAAATGAGAGCTAGAGGGGCACAGTTCAACAGGGCCTCATGTGTTGATGAAACTCTGAGGGCAAATTCGGAAAGCTGACATATTTCAGGAGTCTGTATGCTAGATTTCCGGGGATCATAATCATAAATTTAGCCAAAACTTTTACCGTCTGTCGCTCGTGACAAGATAGGATCAATACAAGAGCAAGGGATCTGCATAATGCATAATGGTAGCTTCACAGGGATGGAGTTGTGCTTCACTCTGGATGATGCAATTCTCCACGAGGAACACGAACATGTGACGAAAGTAGAGGATGATTAAATTCCAAGGTAAAGCAAAACACCCCGCCGTTACAAGGCAAATGTAAAACCTAACCGGTTATTGCAGGCTGCCACTTGTACCTGTTGCCACACATTGCATCGAACAATAAACAACCGCGGCGACTATATTTGGAAGTCTGAGGAACCGATTTGGATTTGCATCCAAGACGTCGCACGAGCCTTCAGAAAGGGGCGGGTGCCTCGAGAAGCCACGCGTTGCACTGCCAAATGATGCACAACACGTTTGCTCCGGCGGGCGAAGCAGCGCATGAAGGCTTTTGAGAAGAGTCACGCTTCACAGTCCCGCGAGCCCGTGTTGGGGGTCACGGAGCGGAAAGGGACCTGGAAGATCTGAATGTTGTTTTTATATGGCGTACTGCTCTGGCCCCGGTTGCGTCCGTGTGCTGGGCCGCAATGTGCTTGTGGGTGACACGTGTGGTGTACTTGCACATTTTTTTATTCATACTGATGGACGTTTTTGAAATTCTCTTTCAGATGCGAGATGGGCAACCTTCTGCGCTTGCTGTCCCGGGACGATGCCCCGAAGTACGACGTGTTCGTGGACTTCGAAAGTGAGTCGGTGTTTTGGACGTTTTGGTTGTTCTCCTTTAGCCATATTTCGAGCAAGGTTTACTGCTTACTTTGTACCATTTCTGTCATCACACTTCCGTGTTGCCAGGAGGTGTTCTCAGTTTGAGAAACGCAATGAGTATGAAATTAAAAAATTCAATAACTTTGCAATTTTTTTTCTTTTTTTCACGCAATATTTGGGAGTTTGGTACTGCCGTGTCTATCAGTGGGTTGATACAATTTTGAGGCAAATCAGTGAACATAAAAAATTGCTGGAGTACCCCGTTATTATTCAGAGACGTAGGAAGAAAGAAAAATGGTACAAATATGTATTTCCTCACCGTGTGGTTAGTTTCAACTTGGGTCGGAGCACAGTCGAAGGCTCCAACACACAACCACAAACACACATAGTAAAAGCGCGAGTCACAAGATATTTGCTGCACTTGATTGATTTAGTCTACGAAAGAATGCGTACAGGAAGAGGAACAAATGCCACGATGTCACAATTTTACCCTGTTTGGTCGGTTTGATTGGCTCGTAGTGTCAGCTGCGCTTAAAATTAAGACGAAACATAAGTATAGAAATTGCTGCTCAACCGCGCTGGCCGATTGATGCGCTGGCGGGTTGGTCGGTGACATGGTCTGAATTTTCAGGCGATGTCAGGAGCTTAAAGTCATGAGAATAAATCGCAAATAGGAGGGTGGTGGCTACTGTGATACAACAGAACCAGGGTCTTATACCCCTCCCACAGGCGTACCAACCGGTGGGGCAAGGGGGGCGCTATCCCTCCCCAGTTCTCAGACTGGGGGGCAAGGCGTGTGTTTTGCACCCCCCTGAAACGGCCGCCACTGGGCAGGGCAAACACTGGCCGGCAGTGCCCAAGGGATACCAAGGGCACTGCCCCCAGCCTGGAGGGTGGGGGTGGGTGTCTGGCTTGCCCTCCCACTCAAAAACAAGCTGGTACGCCACTGACCCCTGGTAAAGTCACTTGTTTATCATCTCTGCCACGTGCCTCCGTGACGCCTCTCATTGCCTCCGAGTGGCGGCTGACATGGGTGAGCACCTGGGTTAGCGCGATAGGCTCCGACATTATGATCAGTATTATTACAGGTCCACCTTCTTTGGTTTTGATTGTAGGTTGATCTCTAATTATGAAAAACTGTGCAGAGAAAGAAAAAGAAATGAGGGTCTATGTTTGAATAAATACAATCGAGGTAGTTCCCGTGCAGCTGCCGATCGAAAGAGCAGTGAACTTTGACTTCCCTCTGGTTCCAACGCAGCTGAAGAGCAGTCGCTTTTAAAGCACGAGTGTAGGCTTTCGTAATATCTGTTGGTGGTTGTTTCTGGAGTTTATAATACTCATATTAGTCTTGGGTTTGGTAGGTTCAAAGAACTTGGGGGTGAATAATTTTTATTGACAGACATGTTAGTGGATATACTGTTTTTTGTGGTATTTTACAGAAATTATATTTACGAGCTAAATATACTACCGGGTGTAAAAGTGGGAGGGGAGAGAGGCTTTATCCCAACTGAACTGTTGTGCTGCAATTCATTTTTCATCCGTTGCTTTTTTTTTTTGTACCCATTGTAAACGAAACTTACTCTCACCAAATCCTCATTTCTAAAACGAAAGCTCTATGTTCTTTTTGCACCCTATTTATTCTTATTACAAAAGGTAATAAGTAACATGCTCCAGCATCAAAGAGGGACCCTAAATCATTGTCAAAGATTAACTCATTTAGCGATGCAGTCACTTTTTGATCTTTAGGTGATATGATACCAGATGTTGGCATCTGCTTCAAAAGCATCAGTCGCTGCTCCAACCGGGTTTTTGTCTGCTACAAAAGGTCAAATTCCACTTTCACCACTTTGTGCATTGTGTGGTAGTGATAAGGTTTAGAAAGTAAATATACTGGATGAGTGGCTTTGGCTAGTTTGCGACTTGGTATTAAATCTGTCATCATCTTTAGATATTTAATTACTAGATGTAATTGTCTAGATATGACTATGAATGCCAGGTTTTGTCATCAGGCATCGTGCAAATCAAAAAGACCTGCTGGTGTGCCTTGTTCTGCTAAAGATGCCTTCAAATTATTGTAAGGAGTCATTGCAGACAGTTGTAGTGTTTTTGTAGAAATGACAATACTCTGCACATTCCAGGGGCAGGTTTTATGCTTGCCAATTCTTTCAAGATAGGCGGACCAGTATTTTTTCGCGAAGTGGTCCACATAAAAACTACTAGCGGAAATGAGCCAAACTTATGCTGGCGATTTAAATCGGAGCGAGAGAGGTGCGACAGGAATGGCCATAACGAACGTCACATGCATTCACTACAGCGTCTGGTTTTGCCTGCACCTTTGGTGTCTTGGGAGTTAGATTTCTGGTGCAGGTAATTATCTGTCTGGTTTTAAAGTTAATCAGGAAATTCTGGCACACCTTCACTGCTTAGTCCAGCCACAAAATTTAACTTTGAAATTCAGTTCAGTTTCAACCCAAAAGGCAACCCAAAAACTGCCTTCCCGAAATGGCCACTGTGCGCAGAGAGCGGAGACCTGCCACGTTTTTCCAGGAACGGTGGCAGGTTGCTTGTGACAGCTGTCTCGTGGGTAGATTGAAATCATCCAAATTTAGAAGGGGCTTTGAGATCTAAGCTCTGCCCCGCCACCCTGATGTGCTTAATATAGAACATGTCCGGGCAAGCGTTTAGGAGAAACCCACGGAAATAGTAGCTGGAGTCGACCCCACTTCCAGGCCGTATTCGGTCTTCCTTTCTGACAGGCATTCCTCAACGAGTGTTTGTTTTCCTCGTATGAATGTGTCTTTGAGCTAATGACACTGCCATAGTGGAATATATGGCACGCTCTTAATCAATGGAAGTGGAGTTGGCATTTTATATCTTTTGTGGGAATGTTGCCCCATGACAGTTACCAAACAAGATTGCCAATTTGGGCTCCGACTTTTTTTAAATGAATGTTAGTATTTTTTTTTTTCTGTTGCTTGCTCAGCAAGAGATCAATTGCTAAACAATGCTACAAATTGACTTCAATATCTTTTATTCAAACATAGTGTCTTCTTTCATTTTTGCCATACTTGTTTAGTATAAGAATTGATAAACATTTGCAAGTCAGCCTTTGACTTCTTTGATTTAAATGGAATTGTGGAAGAGTGCTAAATATGGATAATAAGTTAGCCTTGCACTCCTTTTGTGCAGATATTGTTTTCATTCATTTTTGCCGTGCTGGTTTAGCACAGGGGTGATGAAACAAACTTGAAAATTTAAGCCTGGAGAGTCCACTGACCCAGGGTCGTCTTAACCTTGGTTTTCAGTAACTTTTTTAATGTTGACTGGAATTACACTTTATTTAATAAGTAAACTTCGGAAATCAAGAGCCCCAACTGTTTTTGCCAATTTGGTTTCAGATGCCGAGCCTTCTGAATCGGAAGAAGAGACCTATTACTATGTTCAAGATGTACTGCAGCACTCCAGGGACATCTTGCTGGAGCTACAAACCTACAAAGGTGCTGGCAACGAAATCAGAGAGGTGAGCCTCTTGCCCGAATAGTTTTCAGATTGGTCAAGCAGTGCATAGCTGGGCTGTCTAAAATCCCTCTTCATCCCTTGGGTACCGGAACCACATTTGTATGGGGAAACATTACGAGTTCTCAAATTATTTGTGGTCCATACTCTCGTGAGTAATGACCGTGATATCCCAAGAGATAGCCCACCGTGCTTCCTGTTCAATTCATGTTCTCTTTTGACAAAATGTGCCTCAAGACAGGGACAGAGTAAGGGTCTTGCGGCGCATTTTGTCAAAAGAGATCATGTACCAACTGGCCCATCTGTCACTATGAATCAATTCATGTGTTTTTAAACTAAAAAAAAAAGAAAGGAAGATGGGCACCTCCCAAAACCATGTTCCCTGGGCTCTTGGAATTTCCTCAGTGGGACAGGCAAATTTAATTTTGTCAACAATAGGGAGTGCCTTCTTGACAGCTGGTAGTAGGATAGAATCAACTGTTTTTTCTTCATCATTCAGATATGGTGCTCATTGTTGGGCCTAGGGATAGGGTGAGGAATGAAGGCAGGCATGTTTTCTGAACCCTCTTGGGTCACTTACATCAAAAGTTAGCCCCCTCTCACCTTTATCATTAATGTTTGGCACCCTCAGGGTTTGGGCGATCTTTTGGGATATTACAATATGTCGGATCATTCCTGTTTTTCTCATAGAGCAGTGACATGAATGATTCAACTTAACTCCCAGCATGCCAATATGTGAGTGCCACTGGCATGTAGGGCCAGTGGAGTTTTGTCAATATGTAGTGCCAGTGAACTTTTTGTCAGATTGAGAGAGAGCTAGTGGCATTTCTGCGGTAAAATGCCAGAAGCTTTGTCAGACATGTCTGGTTGTGTCAGCAGTGCCTCTTTCTCTCTCCCCCTCCACCCAGGCGATTGCAAACCCTCGAAGCGAAGCTCGCCAGGTGAGGGCCTGGGAAGCCGTGCTGCCACTGGTCTCCAAGTTGAAGCAGTTCTACATCTTCTCCCAGAGCCTGGGTGAGTGCTTCTTCTTAAAAAACAACTCTGCCCCGAGTTTAGAGCGAAACAGTTTACTAATGTCACTTCTGCAGGACATGCGATCGTAACTTAAGCACAATCTCAAAATAATGTTGTGGGTCCTCACTAAAGCTGGTATTAAAAAGGGCATCGCCGGCTCTCTAATGAGCTGCCTGAAAGTCAGCTACTGCCGAAGCAATGCTGGGTAGCGTTCCATCATTTTCGTGCGGTCCTTTTCCCCACAGTCCAAACTGACAATTGAATCTGCTTCTAGAATGGATTTTACTTTTTTTGTGCAATGAAATTGAGCAGTCTTCAGTAAACCAGACGTAGCCCCGACATAGCGTGGCACAGAAGTGATATTGCTGCAGCCGACGGCTACTTTTGCAGTCTCTCCCGAGCGATAGTTTATAGGTTTTGTCACAACAGTCACCGTGTCACGTGACCTACGTGTCGGTCAAGTGTGTCCCTTTTCTCGTGAAACCCAGCCCCATAGCATGTTCCGTGTGAAAACCCCCGTCGGTTTTGGCGTGCAGAGGAGGTGGTCCCCCGAATCCTGTGGGAGCTGTGCTCGGGGCCGCGCACGCCACGGGAGCACCTGGAGACCCAGCAGGCCCTGGTGAAGCAGTTTGCCGAGATCCTAGACTTCGTGCTCAAGTTTGACGACCTCAAGGTGACCACACACGCGCCTCGGTTGCACTGGAATGCGAGTGTGTGAACCAGCCTTAACATACCGGCCCCATCTGTCGGTATCCCTGGAACATTTCCGAGCTGCATCTTGCGCATCATTCATTCGTCACGGGCTCGAAATAACTCTGACAATATTAGAAGAGACCAATTTTTTTTTTTAGACAGTGCATAGATTTGATCTTGCAAACACCGCAAACCTAGTCTATTAACATGTTAGAAAAGCTCCAGAGGTACCAAAAAAAATAATGGGGTAGTGTGTATGTTTATACAGCCTAGAACTTGGTCTGCCTCACTGGATGACAAGTCTCCCAGCTGGAGATAAGAAATTTAGCCAGTGCAGTACAACCGCTAGCCTGGGTTCTTTAACGGGCATCATGCAGGCTTGAAACGGGTAGGGGTGGGGATTGAACCCAGGATCCTGGGCTCTGCAGTGTGAGCTTTCGCTCCACGTGCTCCGAGCTGGTGTGCGCTAGTCCACTCGGCCACCGATCCCCCCCAGCTAGGGATACCTGGTAGATGGCGCCAGTCTTTTTTTTTTTTTCTAGTGTTCCCTTGTCGTGAGCTGTTACAAGCGGTTCTAGTGCTGTCGATCGGTCGATTTGACTACCTAGGGTGCCTTCATGTGCACTTCACTTAGGGTGACGTCATCTTTACCATTTTGCTTGTGACTCCTTTTTTTTTTTTTTTTTTGGAGCACGTGAAAGTTTGTTTATCAGCATGAGTTCTTGGCATTGACCGGCATCATTTTGTTACCTGTCATTTCTTCGTAATTTCACCATGAGCGCATGGCGTTGGGTACTACAAAGGCTGGCATCACACTGCACAGGACAGATCTTTTATGGATGACTGACGGGAAATCGAAACTAGCGCTTTGTTCCCGGGGAAATCTTGTTGAAGCGCCGTTTTCTCTAGGGGGATTTGACTGTGTCGATTTGCACATGCTCTCGTACACACTATGTATAGTGGAAGCGGAAGAGTGTTGATTCGAGCTTCTCCTGACTTTGTTGCGCAGATGACGAATCCAGCGATCCAGAACGACTTCAGCTACTACCGCAGGACGGTTAGCCGGTTACGGCTAGCAAACCAGGTCAGTGTTGCCGTTTTTGCATTTGTTTTGTCCTGTGCCTGTTCAAGAACTCTTCCACTGGTGTTCAGCTCTTGTCTAGTTGATTGTTCATTCCGCGCATTCCCTGCTTCGGTTTCTGCATAACTTTAGTCTCGGCTTGTATGCCACAACTGGAATTTATTCTTAGCAATATATTTCATCAACCCCTTTTTGGTAGCAGGCAATTTAAAGGCAGTGGTGATTGGCCTTTTCTTGAATTAGCTTTAACAAAATAATGCTTACCCACTGCTTGTCCATGATATTGTCTGCAAGGGGAGCAGGTGTCTTGTGTGATTAAGCGATATGAGTGACACTAGCTTAGCCTGCAAAGTAGATCTCGTGCGTTTGCTATGACATAATTTGATTAAAAGATGGTTCAGTGAAAGGGCTTTTATTTGCAAATATGTCATTCGGCTAAATGACCCATATTTACTAACATGGTATTAGTACTAATTAAATGGTTTTTGAGCAAAGTATGTTTCAAACTGTTGCAGATGAAATGTCCTTTGTTGCGCTTTGGTGAAACATTAGTTGCGATGTCATTTGGTGAAGCATTTTTTGATAGAGTGCCATTTGACGAAACATCATTTGACGAAACATCTTTTTATAAAGTGCCCTTTGATGAAGCTGTGTTTAACGAATTGTTTGACAGAGTGCCGTCTGACAGAGTGCCGTCTGACAGAGTGCCGTCTGACAGAGTGCCGTCTGACAGAGTGCCGTCTGACAGAGTGCCGTCTGACAGAGTGCCGTCTGACAGAGTGCCGTCTGACAGAGTGCCGTCTGACAGAGTGCCGTCTGACAGAGTGCCGTCTGACAGAGTGCCGTCTGACAGAGTGCCGTCTGACAGAGTGCCGTCTGACAGAGTGCCGTCTGACAGAGTGCCGTCTGACAGAGTGCCGTCTGACAGAGTGCCGTCTGACAGAGTGCCGTCTGACAGAGTGCCGTCTGACAGAGTGCCGTCTGACAGAGTGCCGTCTGAAAAAAACACGGTGCAATGAAACACATCGGACCCACAGGCGTTCAACACAAAGTAATTCTTTTAGAGACGAGTTCATCCAAGGACGTGCCTCTCTTTGCAGGAGAACATAGAGGACGGGCTGGAGGTGCCCAACGAGCTGGCGAACCACATGTCGCTGTTCTACGCGCATGCGACGCCCATGCTGAAGGTGCTGAGCGACGCCACGACCCGCTTCGTGGCCGAGAACAAGGACCTGCCTATTGAGAACACCACCGAGACGCTGGGCACCATGGCCAAGGTCTGCCAGCGGATGGTCGACAACAGGTGCGTGCTGTGCCACTGCGGACCGGTTTGTTGTTCCGGAGAGGGTAGCCCCGCGCTGAGGTTGAAGCAAATGCATTGTAGGTAGTCACTGACGGCTTAAGCAATGTATAGTCGCCGCAGGGTTCTCCTTAAAGGGATGGTGAACCGTAATTTGGATTTCAAAAAAAGAATGCTGGAGATGTAGGCGGGACGTTACAATCCCTACAACACTACTAGTAAGGCGATATCTCAAATGGACGGCCGTATTTTTGGCAAAAGAAGTCAAGATTGAACCAGGCCGACGAGGCGCGTGACGTTAAGATATCGAGTTTCCTCCTCTCTTCGCTTCGTTCCCTCTCCTTATCGGAGAAACATGACGTCAACATTCCTGCCAAATGCGCCTCTTTTTTGAAAAATACGGCCATCCGTTCGAGATATCGCTGTATGAGTGATGTTTTCGTGTTCCTAGCATCCCGTTGCACGCTTTTGCCGCGTGTTTTTGGGAGTCCAGATTTCGGTTCAGCATCCCTTTAAGGTGGGCGGCAGTGGCTTTGCCACCTACCGCTCCTACTGACTGCCCACCGCTCAATTATGCCACAGGATGACGATGCGATTTTTCCTGCACACATGGCTGCAGACCGCCGTACTCAACAGGCCTGCACACTGCCACATTATCGCGTGTTATTGCATCACCGACTGCCGCCACTCTTTCAAACGAGGAGAGCGGAGCCGCAAAGTGCCGCCGACTACAACCCCCCCCCCCCCACCTCCGCCGCTCGCATGGTGGTTATGTCCACCCCTAAAAAATTCCAGGGGAGAACCCTGTGCTTGATTGAGCAGAAACTCAAAATAAACAGATGCAACGAACGTGCACTGCGCAGCAGTTCTCTCGTCAGGCGGCGAGTGGCAGACAGCAGAAAGCCAAAAGGACTTTTCTTTCACTGCTCAATGCTTGCTTGTGCTGTGGCCTGCTTTTTCTTTGCCTCTTCACTGTTCCTTCCTCTCTTTTTTTTTTCTTTTTCCAGGGCAGTTTGGTTTGTTTTATTACTGTGGCATATGAATACCCCGCTATATGGACACCACGCAATGTGGACACCATCTTAGGGAACAAACTCAGAAAATATTTGCATTCTTTATCGTTATTATGGACAACTCGCATTGTGGACGATTTTCTTCGGGTACGGAGGCGTCCATATTACATGACATCGCTGCCGTTTTAAACTGATGAAGCAACGTCTAAGCAACACGCGTAGTGCAAGTGCCAAGTTCTACATGACTAGACGCACCCAGAAAGCGACTTTAAAAACAAGCGCGTCTCCCATAGAGAAGCACAGGAAACCGGGCCCGCGACAGGCTGCCATTAGCCGCACATTGAGGAGCCATCTGGTGGCACCGTTTGCAAACGAAGCGAGGTCTTTACCTGGCAGGCTGCTACGCGCATGGTGTCCACACCCATGTATATCTTGCACCGTGGTTTCGGGAAACGTATGCGCCATTTGGGAACGAGATTAGAAAAAACGCACGCATCCGAACCAGGATTTTACCCGCCGCGCTCTTAGAGCGAGGTTTGGCCGAAACTTTACCGGGGCCTGTCAATCTCCCGAAGCGGAAACGCGGACGCCGCCAACGGCTGCTGGACTTGGCTGTAGCGTCTGATCTTTGAGGCAAAACAAGCTTTTGGAGGAACCCGATTTCCGGCCATTCTCGTATCCAAGCCAAAGCCCCGGAAAGGAAACGATTATGGCGGCGAGTGACAAGCAGAGAAATGGTGTGTACAGCTAGGTTGCTGTATAATACAGGCAGTATGGAATAATGGCACGGTGCAGATTCCTTAGCAGTTGCGACAAGGGCAAGCACTATATTTAAATGGGATGAGTGGAAACAACTAACTTTTTAACGGTTAAAATTCTTCCAAAATGCTTCGAGTTCATTCGCCTGTTCTTTGACATTCGCGGTCTTTCCCTTGGCAGGCCTAGCAAACCGAACGAGCCAAATCTTTGCTGATGAAGTTTGTCGAGTGATATTAATAAAGCAGACTGTCTCTTCACACTGTACGTACTTCATATCATTTGCTGCAAAACGCTCGATATTCCCGGTACAGACAACGAGGTTCTCGAGAGTCGGACTTGACATGTGAATTAGCCGACTGCTCGAAATCTCGGTTTCGCATTGTGCATTGAGAAATTGCACCGTGTGAATAGACCTTTATCGCTTCTGTGCGCTGGCAGCAATGGCTTTGTTTTAAGCACATATCTGGAAAGATAGACCGGTTGCTATCTGTCCTGATGACGTAGGTAGTAGGCGCTTTAAAGCTATTGGCACTCCAGTAGACTGCAGGATGCACTGAGGAACGCACACACAACGCATGAAGGCACCTAGCATGCACCGTTCACACTTTATCGCACTCTCAGAGATAAGTGAAGCTGGGCATCAAGAGCGGGAGAGGAATCAGAAATTGGCTGCTTTCGGACGATGCTGCAACATGATTGAACAGATTAAAATGCAGCAGTTGTATGTGCTGCAGTCTGCAAGTATGAGTGCGGCTGTTAACAAATATATTTTTCTTTTGCATGTATAAGTGCAGCTGTTAACAAATATACTGTACGTTTCTTGGAGCCCTTTTATACTAACGTATGCAGCATACAACTAACCTGTCGTAGCACTTTTTTGTACACATCTGTTCTTTAATATTCCATTGAGTTTGTTATAAGGGCTTATTTTGCCTAGCTATTTCGATGACAGCTTGAAATGGGGGGGGAGGGGGAGAGGGGAGGGAGGGAGGGAGGGAGGGAGGGAGGGGGAGGGGAGGGGAGGGGAGGTTCACTGTTTGATGCCCACATGGCTTCAGGCGATAAGCGTGCATACGTCTGCCTAGAATTGAATGCTGAGAGTGCTGTACCTGTCCACATGGCTTCAGGGCTCGCAAGCCGTGAAGCCGTGTGGCTTTAGCGAATAAGCTTGCACGCTTCTGCTTGGAATAGAGTGTTGCACCCGCTTGCTTCATTCCGCCTGCTTCACACAGCCTTCCCTGCCCCCTGTTGCGACGTCCGTCCATCCCCCCCTCTCCCGCAGGGACATTTGCACCAGGTTCAAGAATGAGGAGACAATTCTGTTTGTGCTGCGCGTCATGGTCGGAGTCATCATCCTCTACGACCACGTGCACCCGCAGGGAGCATTCACCAAGACATCGCACATTGACGTGAGTCTTTCTACACAACGATTCCGCGTGACTGCTGCAAATAGCTTTCAACAGTTGTGCGTAACTATTGAAAGTTGCGGAAAACAGTCGCACGCAGCTTGCGGAGGTTGCATGCCACAGTCCCAGGTGTTTCCTCTTGTGACTTCCCATAGACTGCTGCAGTGCTGTCAGCGTCAATTGTTCAAAACACAAAGCTTTCAGAGTGCGCTTGGCCGGCGTTCCTTGTGTCAACGGAGGTCAGTGGCGTCTAGCGCTTAACATAGGGAGCTATGAAACTGTTTGTTAATGTGGACAACCGAACAAATTTCACTGGAACAAAAAGGTAAGGAATGAATAAAAACACCACCGGCTGTCTTCATCCATTCCTTACCTTCATGCTTCGTCAGTATTCGTTTAGCTTTCCACATTAACAAGCATGAACCAATCAGCTCAACTAAATCACGTAGCGCTATAAAGGTATCTCCAGGTTTATTTGCGTCATTGTGTTTAGGATGCAGTCTGCAGTTGGAGAAATCCAATTGCTCAGGGTTCATTTCTTGCCGGGTTTCCAGTTTTTTGGGACTCCTAGTTTTTCTAGCAACACTGCTTGCTGTACTTTTTCCGTGGCAACAGGTGAAGCGGTCCATCAGGGTTCTCAAGGAGCAACCTCCCAACGTCGTGGAGGGATTGTTGAACGCTTTAAGGTGAGCCCTGGGCCAAGCTTTTTTTTTAATTAAAAACTGTGTTCGGGTTCAGAGTACCGAACAGAACCGAAAACCGGGACAGAGCCATTAATTTTAGCTGAACCGGAACTGAACCGAAAAAAAATTTAACGATAATTACTAGTTTAAAACGGTAGTCTTTTATTTTGTTAGTATCACAAAATAAATATTTGAAAAAAAAAAAATATATATATTTGCAGCTGTATTTATATGTATTGTTCAAATCGTCACGTACAAAATTTCAGTGTAAGAAATTTTGGGTTTTCGTAGCGCTTTTGTATTGGCGTTATGATTGATCATGTGACACGTCGTCACGTGACCTCGTGTAGTCAAGAGGCTGTAAAGTAATATCACGTCACATAGTCACGTTACGTCAATTTAATTTAAATTTGGAATTTAAAATTTTAAAAAATAAAGAAAGGCATCGTGTATTGGATTTTTTTTAACAATATCATTTATTAATATTATTCCTCTGCACATTTTCGTGTATTTGCCTTCAAAGCTTATGTAGAGACAATGTAGAGCACTGCTCGGGCCAAAATTTGTAGGCCTGGCCCGACCCGGCCCGGTAGAGACGCTGCCCGGGCCTGCCCCGAGCCCGACAAATGTTTTTTAAATATGAGCCTGAGCCTTGCTTGAGCTTTACAGATGTGCCCGAAAAAATTTTAAGCTGTCTAAGCATAAAGCGTGCACTCTTCCACTATGCTGGTGGAGTCAATACGTTTTCATTTATACACTTTAAGGCTTTCCACGTGCAGTACGTCTTTTAGAGCGCAGCTCTTTGGCATCTGTTTCCGGGTTGAGCGACGGCGCCATCGCCGTCGGCGTAATCGTGCATTGCATTATTGGATGTTTCCCATAATGATGTCACGAGGGTTAAATTTTCCGGCTAAATTTGGCGGAAAATTCTTCTGCTAAATTTAGCGGGAAAATTTTTCCTTTGAATTTAGCGAGGAAATGTTTAGGCTAAATTTAACGGGGAAATTTTGGTAAATTTCCCAGCTAAATTTAGCGGAAATAGTTCTTCGCTAAATTTACAGGGAAATTTCTGCTTAATTTAGCGAAAATTTCTCGCCAAATGGGAAGGGAGCAGGAGAGGATGAGGGGAGGGTGCAGGGGGGGAGCAGGGACATACCCTCCCCTCCTCCTCAAGAGCTGCTCTCTAATTGGGCATTACAGAGAATTTTAAACGTCTCATTTTTTTGTGTTCACTTTTGAACGGCACCGTAGTGACTTTGCACTTTGCTTGTTTGTTTTCATCGAACCTAAAAGATCAATGAGAACACTTTTTGTTATCAACAATTTAAAATTTGCTGCACACAACTGCCCAGGGACAGCCGGGTTTGGGCTTTTAGGTTGATGTGTGTTGAAATGTTGAAGCCTGAGCCCAGCCCGCGGGCCGGGCCAGGTTTGGGCTTTCAGGTTGACCAAGGCCTGTGCAGTGTTCTAGCACAATATTCTTTTTGGCGTACCCGGCAACCCGACGTTTCACACTGTCAATCAGCGAACAAAAAAGTATGTTTCCATTGATCGGCTAAGAAAATTGCCGTATTTTCGAGTATCATACTCTTGTGTCAGTATCAATCAGTTATGTGATCTTCATACTTTCAAACTATTGATGATAATAAAAATATATTTGATTACTGATTTAAGATTTGACAACATAAATAAAGATATTTATATTTATTTACCTTAAAGATATACCTTCAATATATAAAGATTTACTTTAAAGATATACATCATAAGTAAATGCACCCTCGAATTATCTGAAATAGGCTCTGCAAATCTTTTCCGACATCTTTATCCTCGATACACGTGTATAAGTGATTTGGGAGAGCCTTAAAGAAATTTTTGATTTTGAAGCTGATTTCAATAAATGTGTTCCTGACACATATATAACTTATCAAACATATTGAAGTCTGTTGCCTCTTTTATATGATGAACAGCAATTTTATGTGCCTGTGGGTGCCTGGCAGAACTATGATGATTGCACACGCAGACCGTCAGAAAGTGACCAAGTAGCTGCCATGTCGAGTAGAGTATGAAATACTTGCTTGTTTTATTGAACAAAAATCATAAATTAGCAAAGTTGATGCTTACTTGAAATTTAATTGACCGGCATCTTGTCAAGAACAAACCTCAACAGCCAGGCTACACCAGTTTATCCTGTATAAGAAAACATTGACTTGGACAGGTTCAATCTGAGTATGAAGGTGCGAATAGATTAGAGTGAACAGTTCTTTATCTCTCCTTTCTGCACGATTCTTCGCCTACATGTGTCGCATACATGTGTGAGTGTAAACAATGTTGGTTAGGAAAACAGGCATTGTGATTGCTGCTTACTGTTTTTATCAAAGGCAAACTAAAATGGCTTGTCCTAAAACTTTCATGACATTTTTTAAATATTTCTTTTACCTCAGTTGCGTCGGCATTGTGAAGCGTATTTTGCGAACTATATTTCACAAACTATATTTCACGATATATGTGGTGATGTGCGCATCCCATGATTTTATGCACTGTACTTACCGTGTATATGCGTGTAATAGCAGCAGGTTTTTTTTTTTTTTCGTTTTTTTCGGTATACGGTAATATTTTAGTTCAAGAGCCCACCTAGGATTCAACTTTTAAGACTGCGACTCAAAGTCGTACCAATCGCGGATATTTTTGGCAACCACCTCACTTCATGTCAAGTTTTCCATTCCGGTAAATATATGCGACTAAGGTAAACAAATGGACGTTAAGTCGTATAAACACAACGTTTTGTATATTAATCTAGATTTGCTCTTACTGTTTGGTCGAAATGAAATGATGCTATTTCTAATTTTTTGTGCCTGAAAATAAAAGTGAATTGTACAAATGATAAATAACTTTACAGTATAGTTACTCGTTTCACGGCAAATAGTGCCTATAGCCAAAACAAAGCGGAAAATCTAGGTGGTGTCCACTGGCGGCGATAGCTGAGCTTGCTACTGCTGAGCACGGGTTGACGGAAAGCTTCCACAACGCTTCCGACACGCACAGTGCACACCGAGATTGTTTTCTTTCTGAGATCATAAAATAAGAACTGCATCCCGAGCATGTGGGATGAAGTTCTTATTTATTCAACTTTTAAACATGTGTAGTTCGCGAACTATAGCTCGGAAAATACAATAATTTTCCCAAAGCTGTAATTGAAAGTGGCAATAATTTGTTTCGGCATAGCTCTCCAAAACTAAAAATTCCACTACTAGTCACCTTTTCATGTTATTATGCCATTGTACTGCACTAAACTTAGTTCATGCAACGTCCAGTTCCTCTTTCTTAGTCCGTCATCCGCCACGACCGGCGCCTTGCAGGTATACAACGCGGCACCTCAACGACGAATCGACACCGAGGAGCATCAAGGGTTTGCTGGCCTGACCCACCGCTGTGCTGCGGCAGCGCCCCCTCCTCCCGCCCCATCCCGCCTTTGCTGGCGTCGTCTGCTCCCCCCTGGGCACCCTTTGTTTCTTCAAAGGCGTCTTCTGCTCCTGCGCAAGCGTCTCCTGCTGCAGTGCAGGAGTCGTCTGCTTCCCGACAATGCCCAGTTCCCTTCCCCCCGCCCCTGCAGTCCTTGCAAAGGGAAGTGACCAGGACCGAATCCTGGCAACCACTGTTTGGGGAATCGGGATCAAACGAGCGCCCCGCGCCGAACACTCCCGCTAGCATGCGTTGAGGGAAGCATTCTTCCTTTAGAAGTCATATCCAAGTTTGTGTCAGCCACGAAGACGCGCATTCATACTCTTGGGCGACGAAAAGGCGTGGTTGGCAAACTTGCACCCTTTTTCTTTTCTTTTTGTTCGTTTTACGAAGGTGGTGTTGTCGGAATTGTTTTATTGACTCTTTTGCGCACCATCAATACATCGACTATTCGACTGCAGCGACGCTTTCGTCGTGCATTTTTAAGGAACTACTTTTGTTGACACGCTTTGAGTCTCGACACTCTTGACCGGTTTCACTTTCGGAGGGCCTATGTATCTCTGCAGATACCGCGACAGTCTCGGTATTTTCACGCGTGTTGTCGCTTGGGTGTCTTCAGTCCGTGCGATAACACTGTTCCGGAGCCCCGACCTTGTCCTGTTTAGCACCAGGCACTCAGTATTTCATATTTCTCCTTGTCCGTGTAAACGTTTACAAGCCTGCCTTGTTTTTTATGTTTATGAAATTGCATGTTTACGGCACTCGTGTATATATCCTGTTGAATATGCACCCTCACATACTGTCAGTGCAGTTATTCATGTCACCAGTGTAAAATGTTCATGCAAGAGCTTGGTCTATCTCTCGAGGTATTGTCTCTGCCAAACATTGCTCTTCTACCTGGAGTTAATATTAGGAAACTGTAATCGTTCCCGCTACCCCAGTGACCGGTACACGCCCTCATGAATTTGAATTTAAAGTTATCTTAAAAATATGACGTTGGCAGAACGCGTTACTGCTGCCGTCTAAAGTCTAAAGACAGCTGTACCCCCTTAATTTGGCATGCCTGCAAAGGCTACCTGTTGTGTGGCTTTGGGAAAGTCAACTTTCCCAATGCATGGCTATTCAGCAGAAGCATGTTTAGAGGCCATGGACTTGTTCTGTAGCTTTTGTTGTGCACTTTTGTCGAGGCGAAATGAAGTGTTGTGCAACATTTGCAAAGGATGTCAAAGCGACAGCATATCGCTTTGTTCACGTATTATTACATCTTCCACCACTAGGTATTTTAAAATTAATATAACAAAGGATGTAAACTTCATCCGTTCAGATCAAACAAACTTTAGACTTGGCCCACCATAGCAAGAAGAATGGATGATTTTCCAGGGTTTTCGTTCAATGTGTGTGCATGTGTACAGTAGGCTGACGAACAAATCTAGTTTAGTGATAGTCTTTTGAGCAGTTTTTAGAGGAGCATTGCTGCCGCTGCCAGATAGATTTGTTTCATTCTGAAATGTCTGCAAAAAATGGCAGTAATGCAAGACCAGAAGGGACGACTGACAAACCGGATTTCGCAATCCATACAAACCTTTTGATGGAATGAGTCATGTTTTCCACGAGTTTTAGCTTGAATCTGAGCTCGGGACCATTGCAGACCTGAAGTTGATCTGTGGTAGTCAATATTGACAGATGAACTCTGCTAGTTAGATTAATTAATCAAATTTACTTGAAGGGCAACTTGCTAGGCTTTTGTTATTGAGAAGACAGTGCAGTTTTTTTTTTTTAGTGTAACTTGGTAAGTCCACAAACCAAATATTACTATGCAAGTATATGTCTAAATATTATTAAAATGGTCTGGAAACTTGGAGATGTAACAATTAAACGAGATCTCCAAAAATTTGGTGACCAATGCAATCGGCTACATCAGAGCATTGTAGTTTTCAGCTCTTTGTTTTACTGGCACCAGCGAAGCGATCTGCAGTGTTTCAATGAACACTTGTGCGGCCGTGCAGGGAACAAGCGCACGCTTGTGGACCTTGAAGCTTGAGATTTACTCTTACCGATGTAGTGGTAAAAAGGCAGTCAAGGCAGTGAACTTTTGAATTTGTAGAATGCCGACAAGAACAAGTAAGAATCTGAAGTGCTACTTTGGTTTTTGGGCGAATTAGGTACCCGTGTTTGAGGCTAGCCCCAACCCGAATAGCGAAGTGACCTTGTGAAAGATTGAGATGCTGCGAAGTCCTTTATTTCTGTAGACTATATTCTGGGCATTGGGTGCAGTGGAAATGTTAAGATGATCTTAAATTTCAACTTCACGGAAGACATCTTCCCACATTTTGGAGTACATTCATTTATGCATCAATATTTTTCAAATATTATTTTCAGAAAATTTGCAATAATCGGAAATTTTCGAAAAAATTTGGGAAGAGTGTTTTTCAACTGCTACATCCACTGGCACCTATCATATCTGGGTGGGTATACTTGGGACTTAGTTTGAGAATTCCTTATAGGAAAGAAAAGGTTTCAATAAAAATGTCAAGAAAGAAGCTTCTTGATACAAGAACTTGGGGGCAAAAGATTAGCCACAATGGCCTCAAAAGTGACATGTAGGATCTAGCCGTATTGCCCGAGGAAATGATCGATCTCCCCCACCCTCGGCACTCCCACACTCCTTGCGAAAAATTTGCAAAATTTTTACTTCTTTTTCAAACCAGTGAGCATTACCAGAGTCTTTCAGTACGTCACTGGCCATGAAACTTCTCCCCAGCGTTAAAAACAAAAGTATGGTTCGCGACCGCGTGCAGCACTGGTGTGGACAAGGCAGCCCAGAGTTGCCAACCTGGCCAGCACCACTAGGGCTCTGGCAATCACGAAGTGTGTCATAATATTGAATGAATGAATGAACTACAATCTGTGGATGGCTCTCTCTGAATGAGCCATCCACAGATTGCGGTGACACATTGTTGCACTGACAGGGTTTCTTTTTAATTTAGGTGTCTTTGGCTTCACTCAATCAGCAGCTCAAACTTTCTTATCTGCAACAACCCCATAACATTTTTTATTCTTTTTTTTCCTTCAATATGGATTTTCACGACCGTTGAAATTCAGTTTCGCAAGCAGCGCCCTCTATAGTCGGATGCAACCTAAGAACAATCTTTTAGCTCCACCCACAAGCGCATTGCGCCCATCTGAAGTGCCTCCGCCGTCGAGAAAGTAGTTCGCTAGCAACGTTGCTTTTTCTTCCTCCAGGAAACGTGTCTTAAACTAATACAATATTTATTTAATTCATTCAGGACATTTAAATAAGTTAGAATATGTTTTTGTCAACGAAATAGCTGTTTAGTAAAGAAAGAAATTCATGTCCAATGTACCGTCTTCCCAATTCATTTTCTGTCCAAGATACTGTCTAACATACCGTCTAACATACCTCTCAGCAGTGCTAAGCCTCGCGCCCGCTTCGAAATTTTCGTTGGCGATAGCGTCGCTGGATTCTCACGTTGTCGCGCAAAAACTGCTGCAAACGCAAGCCGATACCATCAAGATTTCGTGGCGTAACCTCGGGCACGTAAAACACGGTGCAAAAAAGCAGAATAATTGTCACGAGAAACTATAGCATCGCGTTGCTAAGGCCAGCAGCCATGTTGAGCTTTTTTTTTTTCAAAAGGATCGCGATTGGTCCACAGAATCGTGACGTCATGAAAACAATTGGCTGGCGTTTCTCGGCGTAGGATTACATTTTCCTCTGAGAGGCATTTCCGGTTTTTTCTTGGCTTGCAACCGACTATAGTGGAGGCTTTGCGAACCGGTGCACTCGCTCGGAAAAGGAAAAGCATTGTTCTGTTTGAAAACAAACGGTGAAAGCTTATTTGTAACATCTGTTAGAGATGGACAAGAAAAGACCGGCGATTGCATGCAGCAAACACTTGTAGCGTAACAAAATGCCTGTGTATGAGATTTTTTTTTTAACTGCTCGTGCTTTTCAGTTTGCGAGTGGCTCGCTTGGAGAGGAGTGGAGTGGTAAAGTGACAGCGCACTCTTGTCGATAGTGGAGCACCTGGTGGCGGATTTTGTCCCCGTATTTCACTTCGGCTGAATTTTCGTGACCAGTAGCTCAAGGACTAACATTATTTTTATTTCATTGTCTCAAAGCTCGGAAAAAGCTAGTTTTCTCCTTGCCTGGTCTTGCGGCATTCAACAAACACTTGGAAGTAGGTGTAACAACCCATCTTGACGTCGGCGCTAAGCGAGTCGTCGTGAAAGGTGCCCAGATTTTTTTTCCCGAAATAAATACCCGAGATCTAAAACCAATTTGCAATGTTGAGCTAGAGCTTCTCGGTTTTAGCAACTCAAGAATAAAAAAGGAAAACTCGCTAAATTTGTAATTCAGACGTTTGTCGGACAGGTTTTTGCAGAAAACAAAATGGTCACTAAAATATTTTTTGACACCAGATTTTTTTTTTATGACATTTTGCATTTAGGTACTGCAAGCAGTGAGAGAGTGCAGGCGAGCTGGTAATTAATCGACATCTTGTAAACCCTGAGATGGGGAACGATAAAAAAAATGACGAACACAACAAAATCTCAAACCGCAACATTTTCCTCACTCTTTACAAATGACTCAGAAACAGCCACCAAGGCTCTCTCATTAAAAATACCATCAGAGAGCACTGCAAACAGAATTATCTTTCAACTCCCTTTTCAAAGCCGACACTCTCCTGAAATTTCTTTGCTCAAGGATTGATTTACAAAGGTCGTTCTATACACTGGGGTAGGAATTTTGGTACTAATAGCATGCACATTTGAGCACAAACCAAACCGTGACGGTTTCACATCCAGGCAAAACTTTGGACCTTCATTTAAATTTGCTTTAGGAACTCTGAGACACTACAACACTTTCAGGATTGAAAAAACGTTATACAGAAGCCGATAAAGCTGACCTTTTCTTCGTCGAATCTTGTTTCTTCAAGACCTCTCTTTTCTTGGCAGCCCACGAGGAACGAAAGCTTGCGAGCCGAAGAGAGTTCCAACCATCGAACGTTTTTTTATCGTTCCCCATCTCAGGGCTTACAAGATGTCGATTAGGTACTGCAGTTTGTATAAATTGTAAACTCAATAGTTGTGGCTTTTTTTAGGATAAGAAATTAGAAAGAACCAGAAAGCAAAAGACGTGGTGTATGCTCCTTTCGTTTTCAGTCAACAAATGTATTTTAGTTTGCTTTTTTACACCACCGGTTGCTTCTTTGAACAATTCTTGTCAGATTTTATGCACTTGAGTTGCACGTATGCAGGCCAGGTACTTATAGACACCAGCCTATTACGCCAGCTCCTGTCGATGACCAGAAACCCTGATCATAAAACACGTAGGATTGTAAGTTTCTGCAGGCTTGGAATTGAGAAGCATCCAAATTGATACGCACACTATGGCTCTTTACCCACCATGACGCAACCTTAACCCAGATGACCGTCATGTGGTTGGAGCACTTTAGTAGCTGCCGACATTTCATTGTACTCCCAACTACGAAACTCTTTCCTATTACAAGTTTCCTGTGCCAGCAAGCTTAGTGTCAGTCACCTACTGCTCTTCCGTACAATTAGCTGCGAAATTTAGGGCTCCCTAAGCGCGTCCCGACGCAAGCATCTCTTCGCAGTCGTGGAACAAACTCGTGGTGTGTGTGTGTGTGATGTCTTCATTGTGTCCGTGAACTTTGTAATGTAGCCAAATTTTCGTAGATTTTCAAGGTGGCTGAGTAAACTAGACTTTGTTTCATCACGAGTTGGAGTGCACTTGGAGGCTAGCAACGTACAAACATGGATGCGCATACCAACACCGCAAGGTCACTGAGCATTCCACTGTGCTTGATCGGTTTTGTGGATGATGGGGCACGAACAAAAAGAGAAGGGCCGTGACGTGCTCTTTTGATGCCACTCAATTGGCCCATAACATCGGTTGTCCTCCAACTTAGTATGAAGCAATGTATAGGTGGAAGATGGGAAAGCTTGTGCTCCAGAATGCCTCCGAGGGAATGTCAAAGGAATGTAATGTTGCTTGGAAGACTGAGGTTTAGGAGGGTGTGTTGTAAATAAGGACGAATGTACTGCAACAAAGATGGCTTTAGTCTGTACTTCCTTTTAGCACTTTCTTTGTTGTGACCGTTTCTTCCATTCTCTTTTGAGGGAAGCTCATCTTGTCGTACACGCATATAGATGTGCTTTTTAGGCGGTTTTGTTTAGAGTCAGCTTTATTTTCCCTCTGTGGTTGATTTTTTTATTTCTCGTTTCTCAAAGCTGACGTCCAACAGAAATGCTCGAGGGATCAAATCAACGAATATGTTGGGTCTCGCTCAGTTTTATTTGTCGACGAAAGAAGTTTGGCCCATCGTAGGGCATTAGCAACATCAATGTGCGAGCTTCCCGCCGTCGATGGCATGTTGAGCCCACTAAAACAGTGGCACACCTTTTTTAACACGTGTGAGAAGTTCATACTTTTTGTTCTCTTTTCATTACTTTGCGAAAGAACCTTTGTCTTCCCTTTGTAGCAGGTGAAATGGCTCTCTCTGTTCAGAGAAAGAATGCTGCCAAAATGGCCGCTCTGCCAAACGTCTTCGGGCAAGCGGTTGGTGAAATATGCAGGGTGTGCTAGGCATAGAAAGAGATGAGAGGTGCTATTTTTGAGGAATACAACTTTGGATTGTTGTTATGCAGAGCAAGTCTTGGCGATCAATTGGCCCATCCCGTGAGCATAGTGATGTTTCTTAGTTAAGCACAAGCTTGAATGTGCACGTGGTCGGAGAGCCCTTGCCCTAATCGGTTTCTGCAGCAGATGCGAAACTGTTCCGAAGATATCCTCGTAAAGTATCTGCTGCATACTACTGTGAACTAAGTGTCATTACACGTGTCCGAGAAAAAGCACAGAGCTGAAATTTGGTTGGAAAGTTGGTAGCCCTTGTCACAAGGGTCACAAAGAATGAGTTTGAGTCACAGCTTTGACTGCATGCGTTGTTCGAGGAATGAACTTTCATGCCCATTTTTGACGGTCGGCGCTTTTTGTCACATCTATCGAGCAACTTTTGTTGGGGGACATGTTGGGTGGGGATCTTTTGTCACAAACTTGCGTCACAACTTTTATGAAGTGTCAGTCCGGCTGCCATGTGTATGAAGTGTGGGTTTTTTTGGTCACATACGTTCTGTCATGCATTTACGAATCTTGGATCAATGTAGCCTTTGTCACAAATGTAAAGCGTTCGGTGCACCAGGTGTATGGGAACACTGAAACTTTGTGGTTTCCGTATCATAGTTTTGTTTCTTGTATTATTTATAAGATGCTAGTCATTGTTTTACTTTTTTTTTTCTTGTTTTAGCACTTGGTGACAGCGCGCCACCCTGACTTGTTGTCCTGTAAATGGAGACAATTTCTGATGTGTTACTTGTATTTTCGTGGAAACTTCTGCGCATTCTCTCTCTTTCTGGGAAGGATACTTAACCACGTTGTGATGGTCAAGAGAAATATGATAGAGATTGCGTTGCTCAATTCGTTGCTTTTGCAAGAGGATGAAGTGTTTGGTTTCGAAGTGTGCTTAGTACATTGGTTTCTAGGTTCTTTTTTGCTAACCTTGTCCGTTTTCTTTGTTTAACATTTATTATAGTCTTCGTCACAACTCCATATAACCAACCTAACTTCAGGCCACACATAAACTGTTCTTGACAGTCACAGTTGCACTAACTCAATATGATTTCTTGCTTCTCTGCAAGATGACGACGTTCGTCGACGGGACTTGCTTAAGACATTTATGCATAACATTTTGTCCACTGTGCATCTTTCATTTTCGGAGATTGACATGCAGCAAGCCACATTAGCTTTGCCTGAACTTGCTGTATTAATTGCAGCAGCTTATTAAATTGCCTATTAACGGTGAACCTGACACAAGGTTGCGACGCTCATCCATCGTATTTTAACTAGCCAATATTGCTTTTTTTTTTTTTTGTGATCTGTACAGTTTCTTTTAAAATCTTACATTTCTTCCATCGGAAAGCGGAAAGAATCGAGTACTATTGCATTCTGATGTATTAACTTTTATTGTTTTTAATAAAGAATATTGTTGTTTACAGAAACGTTTTGCCAGAAGTGTTACTTCCTTTCGGTGGCACGGTTCTATCAGTTCATGAAAAGCCGATTATATGCAACTTAGTTATTATAGAATACTACCATTACTTCAGTGTTTCCCCCATGTCAAGTCTTTGTTCACATTGTTAGGTTGCTGGGTGCAGCACAAGCTGAAAATTAGCCCAAATGTGCTTCGAGAGTGCATATGATGTCGACTTTATTTCACATCGCACAGCTAGATATATCAGATGTCCTGCGAGAAAAGAAAACCATGTTTTTTTGGCACTCGTAAATAAGCCTTGCGTCGCAGAAAGCTCAAAATTTGTGAGAATGTTACAGTAGCAGTTGGGATAGAATCTCAAGTTTTGACATGACTTGGATCAAAGATAATCGAGAAAGACTAATACTTGTGCCACACGGGCAACTTGACTGCCATTTACGACGAATGACATTTGTGAGATCGGCAAATCGGCTCGCAATCTGTCGCGCGTGGAATGCAACACGCCCGGAGTGTCGCGTGCCGATTGGCCGTCCGCTCAAATGTCATTTGTTGTAAATGGCATTCGAGTTGCCCGTGTGGCATGGGTATTAGTACTAAGTTTCTCTATTGGCCGATGTCCACCTAAGCCTAATAATATTGTCAAAACAAGAACTCAGATTGTGGGTGCTTGCGGCATTTACATCGGCGAAAAACACTTCTCGGCAACAAAGACTCTGCTTTCTTTTGCACTGACAAGTTTTTTTGTTTTTTTTTCAATGAAATAGACGCTACAGGCACCCTCAATGTGATTTCTTGTGGCGATATTAGGCTTAGGTGGATGTCAGCTGATAAAGAAATTCTTTCTCAATTACCTTCTCATCCAGGCAACGTTCTCAAACTTTTGCGTTCCATCACAAGCTCTAGTGTCACATTCTGACGAAGTTCCAGCTTTCTGTTTGTTTATGCGGACCAAAACCGGTAAACTTTTTTTTTTCCAGAAACGCCCAATCTTTGTAGACATGTTCCTTTGGCACTATTCAATCCGTATTGGTCCATTTTATTGCTGACAAGAATGATAGATGCTGGATAGCTTTCGGCTCTACCAGTTATAACTCGAGAAATCAGCAGTCTGTTTGTAGATACAGCATTGCCGTGCATTCTAGTTATACCACCAATATTCAATATCATCCCACCATCAAGGTGACATCTTGTGGACACAGCCTCAGCATCCTTTTTCTAGCCTCCGCGGCGAACACCTGTTCGAGCAGCAGTAACCTTCGGCACGTCTCGCCCTCGTGCGCCGAAAGGTTGCGCGTCCTCCCGACGTACTCATACACGTCGGAGGGCCGTCGCACCCGGTACCCGTCGACGCACTTCCAGTGCCAAGAGTGGATGCGGCCCTCCAAGATGGCTGCCTCATTTTGCATCTTGTCCCGCCCAAACTCCTCCACAATTTCGTCAAACTTGCGGTAAAAGTGGCGGTACAGCGCCTCGTCGACTCTGTTGCTGCGTCGCAGCGTGGCGACGGCGTCGTCGTCGAGTTCGTGGCGACGCCCTTCGCTCCTGACGTTGTGACGAAGCGTCACGAGCGCGTCGACATCCCAGCACAGGAGTCTGCCGAGGAGCACGAGGGACTCGACAAAGCGTTCAGCAATCATGACGAGGTGGAAGCGGCGTTCGACGGCTTGGATTAGTGTGGGAATTGCGAGCTCAGTTCGTTCATCGTCTGCTTCAAAGCCCAGGTCGAAGGTCATCTGGTTGAATCCCATCGAGTTGTGGAGTCGGGACTTGCGGATGATCTCGAGGAAGAAAGGCTCGCGGAGGAACTGGGAAAGGTTGACGTCGTAGACTGCGTCGAGCTTGAAGTAGTAGAACATGGACGCAAAGAGGTCGGTGGGGTCGCGCATGATGGTCACGTAGACGCTGTCTTCGGGCATGACCTGTGTGGGTGAGAGGCACGGAGACACGGTTAGACTCGACAGGTTGAAAGAACCGTGCTTGTTGCGTAGGCATAGGAAGTCTGTCTGCTTTGAAATGGTATTGAGTGCTTCCTCCTTAGGAGGTGGGGTCAATTTGGCCAGAGCAGTTTGTGTCCTAACGTGTGTTCTGGAGAGAATTGAAGGAACCATATTTTCTGACTTGTGCCCCATACCATGGGTGGATGCTTTACAGCATGGGTTCTCAAATTAGGTTTCTAGGAATGCGAGAGTTTTCCCAAATCACCCACTGGAGTTCTTTGAGCTCCCAAATTTCTTTGGGCAGCCCTGCACCTAAGCAAAGCGTTCACCGGGTTTAAGCTTCGTTCTAGAAGACCCGAGCCATTCATTGATGCAGAATTGTGTGGAAAACATTCCTTAGTATGTGCTGGCTATCATGGTGTTCTGCATCAATACCGAGAACAGGAGTCGGATTTTGGTCGCAGCAAGAGCGAGATCTAATTTGCCTCTTGCAGAGCGAGCGAAGATGGTATTTGTAGACGGTCTGTCCGCCAAAGCCAGCAAAGAGTGCAGTTCATCTGCTACGAAGTGCCATTCGCAGACGGAAATAAAACAAAAAAAACAGCGTACGTTGTCCACTAAGAGACTGAAAAAAGATTTATCGTCCGCTACAAACCGAGCATTGTAGCAATGTGGGATTAGACGCAGGTAAAAATTTTGATTGTCTATTTCACGTTGGAAGCCATTAACAACCTGCAGTTTTGCAAACCTCAGGTAGGTCTGCTGCCATACACAAGACGACATTGATCGGTAGATGGAGTATTATTAGGGACAAGTAAATCGGAGGTGGCAACACCTTTTTTGCTCTTTGGGAGTTGGTGCAACGGTCTTGCCTAACTTTTGCTTGATTTTGGACTCTCAAACTGGTAAAAAAAATCTTGCTGGTTGATTATGCACAAGCTATGGCAATACGTCCAATTGGAGGCCAAGAACGCGCTCATCTTGACCAAAATCTCGCCTCGGGAGGGGATCTTCGGCTGCCATACAGGGGAGATGGGCTTTCCTTGAGATTTAGAAAAAGTATAATTATGTGGACCCCTGCCTTGTGAGTTCATATCGTTTCGTCAAATTGAAACCTGCATTTTGTGGACAACTTTTCAACAACACACATTTTGAATACCCGTTTCATTGACACTGCAACATTTTGTGGAAACGCATTTTGTAGATGCTTGCTCCTGTGATGTTTCGTCGAAAACATTAATTTTTTCTTTTACGAAGTTTATTGGATTACTGGCTCTGTTTTGTTCACTGAGAGTATACCAGAACTATAGCTAGGCCACCCAGGAGGCTTCGATAGAGCGGAGACAAATTTGCGAGCCGTAATCCTAGGCTTCCAAAGAGTGCGTAGCACGGTCTCTTTGGAAGCACATGATTAGGCTCGAGCTTGCACCAAGCCTTGTCGGAGCCGCCAAGGGTTTGGCAAGCTAGGCTATTGTCCGAATGCCAGCAACCGACGTGACGTGCGTAAAAAGATACCTTCGACAGAATATTGCAGGCTCTGTCAATGAAATAAATGCAAGGGGCTTTCGACGAAACGTCGAGGAAAAGATCTGCCAATGAAGTGTCGTTTGGCGAACCGATTGCCACTACTGTGCTACAAGGTTGACACCAAAGGTCAGCTTGCTGACGAGTACCTCCCGCACGGCTGTTTCGTTGAACCGCATGTGGTAGGTCAGGAGGTTGGGCTTGCCCCCGCAGTGCCGGTAATCGAGCAGGTCAATCCTGGGGTTGAACAGTCGAGGATAGCCCAGGAGGTGGCTGTTTGCGGTGGGAAGTGCCAACAGGAGGTTGCGCTCCTCCGCCTGTCGCATCAGTAGGTTGAAGACAGAAGAGCCGGCACATTTGTGCAGCTTGAGGAACACTATGTTCTTCTTGGGGGTGCAGCGTTCATAGCCAGTCAGGTGGAGATCACTGGGCACGCAGCGGGATTAATCAACTTGAGCTTCATCTGCTCTTCTCCCCTTTCTGCCCCGACACAGCGGACAAAAACCTTTATGCCAATAGACTATTACTGGTTCGGTTCTCGGGAGCGTCAGTCTTGACTCCCTCAAAGAAAGAAAAATCCGGCCAGCGGAAAGTGTGCAAAACTACTGGTAAAATATGGTGTGGTTCAAAAAGGAGGCGACCTGTTCGCGTGTATTTTGTGCTCGAGTCTCTGTGGTCCTTTAGGTTTGGGTAGCAACAATGGCGTTTGTTGACCTCAAGAGCAGTCATGCAGCAGCATTGCAACCACATCGCAGGAGCAGGGGTGCCAAATGAAGCTTTGTCTCTACAATGTTTTATCGGGTAATTTGACGACAGACAACTCATCCATACAATCTGATGGTTCATCAGCATCCTTGTCATTGAGAATCGCTTGTGCAAGCACTTGTCACTGCACAAGTTGCTTTATTGAGTGAAATGTTGACTACGAAATTAGATGCAGGCTGCACTCTTTTTGCAGCCTTTTTGAACCACATACTCGGTACCATCTGTATCAATCATCCCATAACTGATTGTAGAGTTCATTTTGAATATTTTCACCTCTTAAATGGTCACTGCCCAATTGTCCTCACAGATGCAAGCACTCTAGAAACCTTTAGCCATACTACCATTATTTGCCCCATCTAAAAGCAACTAGCGTTATTTCACTTTGGAGACTCCATTTGGAGATTTTCAGAGATGATGATGAGGTGCACATGTAGACAGAGTCTGCAAAGAAAATTGATCTGTCTTGGTTGTTAGCTGTTCAAGAGGACTTACTTTAAATGATGATGGAAAAATACCATTGCCAGCAAGCTTGCAAAAGAGGTTGTGAAGAACAGTGGCCACAGCTTCATCTTCTTCATCTTTGCGACAAGGAATGACACCAGGGCATACTCGTTCAAAACAAAAATGCATGTATGTACATTCTCTTCTGGTTTCCGACACATTAAACATTTTTTCTATATTTGTGTGAAAAACTATAGGTAATTGAACAAATGTACAAATTATTGAATGCAACAAGAGACAACTTTAACCTATCTAGTTGTCACGCTTACAAGAAAAAGAAAAAATTGACCAATTGCATGCACAATACAAGAGTGCTTTTAAAATGTATGCACATCTGGGCGAGTGGAAAATACTGCACAGTGGTATGCACAAGACACGAATGAGCGGACAAGTCCATAATTTATATACCGTTTCCTTTCGGGACATTTGGTGGGGTTATAGAAGTGTTTTTTCTGGTGTTCCTTGTTCCACTGTATTGCAGTTCTTTTAGAGCTTCAAGGAAAAGCGCTACGCTTTAAAGGGGCCTTACAGTGCCCTTTCAAAATTATGTCGTCCTATGAATAGATGTGAAAATACTGCACAGGGGGTGGTGCATGATTATCCTGTGGAGGTGATACTGATAGGCCCATACTTGTAGATTTCCCAGCCTTGGCTTTCCTGCCATATAAAAAGATATGTGCATGTTTATACAGCCGGAAGTTAGCCTCAATGGGCGTATGGCGTTTCGGCTGTAGATGAGAAAGTTAGCCAGTGCAGTACAACCGCTAGCATGGGGTCTTTAATTTGCCCCAAGCAGTAGCACAACTGCGCATCAATTACGATGCTCATCCAGATCGAAACGGGCATGGGTGGCTTGTAATATTGGCAGCGTTCCATAATATGCTCACTCTTGCTCCAGAGTGTCTCACGCACTCACATCACTCTATCTGCATATATTGGGAGCAAGTTGGATTTACTTGACAAAAATTCGGAACCCGGCCACTGTGGAGCAACAATGTTTTAGGGATGGCACCATTTTTTAAAGGGGCCGATAATGCACCTTGGCGTCAACACCGACGAGTCGCAAGATGTTCAAGGGTGTTCCAAGTACAGAGTTAAGTGCTGGCATTTTATGTATGTACCGTACCCCTTTCTATTTCAACCTTGGGTAGCCAAACTCAAAACACCCACCAGCTATTGTACACAAATTTTCCTGTTTTTGCTATAATAAAAACAAAAATTGCTTATTCCACCTGTCGTTTCCTGCTGGGTTCTGCGTGGTTTTTTTGCTTGTGTGCTATTCATATTAGTCCCATGTTCTGCTCCCACCAAAAGCATACAACCTTTTTGTATCTGCAACCGAAAATATATTTTCTGTAAGGTGTTAAGCGCGAAACACACGTACGACGAAACATCCCAATCCGACGGTTGGAGGTGAGGGTTTCAACGCACTCCGGTGCTATGAAAACCCTCGCCCCCGAAGGCCATTCCGGCAGTTTGCCCGTCAGATCGGACGGTTTCGTCGTACATATGTTTTGCGCTTTAATGCAAACAGTAAATTAACAAAGCATGACATTATTTTTTCGCCGCTACGAGGCGTAGTGATGACATAAAAACACACACATATCAAACCTGGCAGGGGCAAACTCCCAGAACTATAGCTTCGAACTACCTCGCCCAATACAAAGGTATATTGCTTTCGCTGTGTTTGGAGCTAAACTAATCACAGTTCTCTCAGCTCCGCAAACACTGGCATCACATACACCAGCACATTTAGTTTGTCACTAAACCAGTACCGCCTGCCATATCAAAACTGCCGTATTGAATACAAGCAAGATTCATCAAGTCCAATGCGTAGCGTGGACAGCATGAAGCCAGTCACCAATGTGGCGGTAGAGTTTATTTACAACAAGACCGGTCCATGCTGGAGGGTTTCAAATACAAGATGATTTCAAGCATTTTCTGCCCGTTCCAAGTCCAAAGTGCCTTTTGCCCAAGAAGCCCCATGCTTCAGTGCCTGGAAAGGAAAACTCTTCTTCAATGTCAGTGCAAATATTTACTAGGTGTTCAATATATACTGACATAAATATCGCCAAATGTATATTAAGCCACTCAATTTTAAAAAAAGTTTGTCACAAAAAAGCGTAGACCTTGTAATTGTTGTAATACAGTTGATAGCTTTTGCTTTTTTGAAACAAGGCTTTTCTATTTCGTTTGCCATTTTTATTGTTGGATCTTTTTTATTTAGAGCACACTGCCTAGAATTAGTAGAAATATTTATTGAAAAACTCCAACAGCAGTGAGATAAATATGGACTTGCGCTGTCGAACAGGTTAGAAAATAAACCTGGAGCAACTGAAATACCCAGCTGCGTCTCAAAAACGGAATTTGCAACCAAAACAAACGTGATTTTGACTTTGCGTTCCTTTTTTTCTCCTGCGGGACTGCGAAACATGATTTGGTACGATTAGTGTCAAAAGCAGACTTCCAGTTCCTTAAAAGCATTGGCGAGATCTGCACTACCGGCCAAAAACGGCAGTTTGAGGGTAACTTTTATTGGGAGTGAAGTGCAGGCTGGATCATTATGCACAATGTGAAAAAAGGAGTGTGTAAAGTTTCGTTCACATATGACGAGCAATTAATTGAAAAACGAGATACTTGTATAATTATTCCATGAGCCCAGTTTCCACATCTGGCACTGTGGTGAACTCGTCGGCTTTTTACCCGACAGTCTGTGCAAGGCCACTCGCATATTAGTGTTGTTTTTGGAGTCAGTATCCCTAAGAAACATAGCACAGTACCTCCACCAATAATGAAGCTTGTCAAGCATGCCAGAGCACGCTAAAAAAATCCTTGCTTACTCCCAACTTTTCCCACCATAACTGTCGGAATAACTCTCGATGCGAATGATCCAATTGCCTGGGCATTGACTCGTAGTCACAGCCGGTATTTGGAAACATTTAGCAACGAGCATCAGCCACCTCTTTATGTCCCTGGCCGGTGCAACCACGGCGCGAATGAAATTTGTCCGAGCTAGGAAGTGTTGCCTCCTCAGAGAGAAATCAGCGAGAGACGGTTTCTACAAAGCAAGCAGGTCACTAGTGCTTCTTTGCTAGCAGTAGGGCATTTGCAGAATTCAGAAGGAAGGTCAGCTGGCAAGCTGTCATAATAGTTTCTAAGGCATTGAGTGCGTGGAAGCATGCTCAACAAAGCAGCATTAAATCAATTCTGCTATACAGATGCACTCCGCTTTTGGCCTACCTGACTGCAAGTGACAGTGCTTAAAGTCTGGGGGGTCTCAGGCGGTCCGGGACCCCCCTCCAATTTTGGCGGGGGGTCTGAGACCCCCCGTTTTACCTATGTTCCCTCTGTCTTAGTCCTGTGCTTGGGGAACAGAGATGAAAAGTTCTGGATAAATTGAAAGGATACATAGCTGTAGAGAGAAGCTGTATAAGTGTCGGTTTAACTTCACCGAAAAAGCGCACGAATTGAGCCCCCTTCCCCCCCCCCCCCCCCCCCGCGCTCTTTCCGAGGGCCTCTGTTCGAGCTAGGAGAGACCCCCCCAGACTGGAGGCAGACTTTAAGCCCTGTATATTTCCATCATCTACATCAAACTAAGTGAGTGTGAAATCTGTTTCACTGCATGTATATATATAAAAAAAAAAGAATTGCTAGAATGAGTTTGAACTACTGTTCCAGTTCGCTGCCAGATCACATGCGACATCCCACGAATAATTCTCGGTGAATGTTGTTGTTCCGGGGGCCAATGCTACACGGTGGAATCAAGCGGGACAGGGAAAATGTCCTCTGCTGCTATTGGTCTCCGACGCGGCGCTGACCAATCGCCGCAGACGGCGTTGTCCCGGTCCCGCTGTGTAACATAGGGCCCCAGGTTGCTGTGTGATCAGTCATAGTTTTGCCTCGCTCTAAATATACCCCATAGTATTCTTGTCTGAGTAAGCCAGATATAGCAGCCTACTGGGTGTAATCAGCAATGCTCTGTAATTTCCCAAAGTGTTCACTGCACACTGCCTAGTTTCCTGCGGGAAATACCGATACCGATCAAATCACTTGTAGCAGTGCAGAGCAAGATCAGTACACAGAGTTGTTACTGACGGGCAAGTGCAGTCTGTTCGCTCGAATGACCACTGACCATCTGGTTGTGAAATGGATCTTATAGACCCACACGCCATTTACAAACAGGTCAGTATTCGCTTGCAGCAGGTGTGGGCACTGCATGCACACAGAAACCAGGTGACGCAGCGGAGTGACGTCTGAGCCGCGTGTTGGCGTCGGTAATAGATTAGCTCAGTTGTGGAACTCCCGCAGAGGGAAGTACCCCCCCTCACCCTCTTCAGTGTAAGCTGCTGAAAGTTCAACAGCTTACACTTCAACAGCTTAGTCTTGTCGTTTGAAATGCCGTCTAGATTTTCGTTTCAAAACTGTGTGTTCCAGAGTATGGTGAAACGCCATCTAGACGCTGTGCTTCGAAACGCATGTATTCCACGGAATACACTGCAGTTAGCATAGCAGCCATCCCCAAAACGGTGGTGTGTCAAACGACGAGAGGCGGGCCGTGGGGGGCACTGCTCGTGAAAGCTGCGTCTATAGGCAACCTGCAATGCTGTTTGGTTTAGCGCCATCTAGCTTCTGAATCAAGAAACATTGGGTATGCCTGGCAGTGCGGGCTGCGTTGTTAAAACGCAAGCTATTATTCTGGTGGCTCCACTTAGCCTAGTGTCTGAAGCAAGAAATACTGGGTATCCCAGGAAGCCGTGATCGCGTAACATGCCAGTACGGCAGAAGCTACAGCCCTGGCAGGCCAATTGGAATGAGACTATGTATCATCAAAATAGGCTTTTACTGCAAAGAAGTATCAGGCTTTTCGCTGCATCATGCTTCGCTATGTGTGAGCTGCACTCGTATGCGTAGCACACCTCGAAGCCGTCGGCACGCAATGTGGGGCTTATCGTTCATCCTTTGCCAAGTTACGAGACAGAGTATAACCGTGGGCTCTCACTCTACTGGTGCCGCCTGTCCGTTGCCAGCTAGCTACGGGCAGTTACTTGACTGAGCGAATCTAGTAACATAGGTCGGTGTACACACGTTTGCAAATACGGCCTCAGGGCGCCGCCATCTTGGTGAGTTGGAATGCACTAGGGAGCGTCATAATACAATTACGCATCGTAATCGGATGGTTCGTAATCAGATTATCGTAGATGGCGGCGCCCTAAAGCCGTACATGCAAACATGCATACATGGCTTGCTCCGACGTCACATCTGCAGCGGCCATCATGAAGGACCTTGCTGCTGCGCGCGTACCTTTCGGGAGGGATCCAGCACTTAACGGCACTTCGTTCATTGTTAGTATTTTTTACATTACACTGTGCCCCGCGCTATATTGAAGATGACATGGACATGCCCATAAGGCCTGTGGGCATGTGCACAGGCCTCGTGTTGAGTAAACACGGAGGGTGAGGACAGCAAACGGGTTAGAGTGCCCCCTATTGTGTGGTAGCGACTGGCCATGGGTGTGGCCAGAGCGAACCAGGTGCGTGTGAAGATGATGTGCTCCCGCTTGCACGGGGCACGAGACTGAGAGCTGGACTCGCACGAGAACAGGGTCTGGACTCGATCGAAGCAGGGACCAGTTATGCTGATGTAAATAAGAGGAATTACATAAAACATGGTGTCAGAAGTGGGATTTTCACGAATTTTCACGAGTGCCAACCTCAGAATTCGCCACTTTTGCTAGAGAATACGGCTTCCAACATATAACCTCGAGCCCTCACTATCCACAAAGCAATGGACTTGCGGAAGCTGCAGTGAAAATAATAAAGAGCTCCATGAATAAGACAAGAGACCCGTATGAGACCCTGCTGTCTTATCGAACAACACCCCTGAAAAACGGGTACAGCCCAGCCGAGCTACTTATGGGACGCCGACTGCGGTCAAAGCTTCCCATCCCGAGCAGACTGCTGAGGCCAACAGCTCCAAACCTAGAGCAGCTCGCGAAGTTTGAAACAAGCTACCGGCTCAAGCAACGGTCGGCTTACGACAAACACCATGGTGTCCGCCATCTGCCCGACATAGTCGATGGAACAGACGTATGGGTTGTCGATCTCCAAAGGAAGGGAACGGTGCAGTGCCCAACATCAGAGCCACGCTCATATCTCGTTGACACCGGCCAAAGCGTCGTGCGAAGAAATCGTACACATCTCGTACCATACACCAATGAGACCACTCAGACCTTCACGAATTTTGCGGCTCCTGCCGATAGTGATGGGCAAGAAGTACCACAGGAGGGGTGCGAGGACGCATCACATCCTCACACAAGGACGGGACGCTGCATTAGACGTCCTTCTCGATACTTAGATGACTGATCATTCCCAAGGGGAGGGGGATGTGTGGTAGCGACTGGCCATGGGTGTGGCCAGAGCGAACCAGGTGCGTGTGAAGATGATGTGCTCCCGCTTGCACGGGGCACGAGACTGAGAGCTGGACTCGCACGAGAACAGGGTCTGGACTCGATCGAAGCAGGGACCAGTTATGCTGATGTAAATAAGAGGAATTACATAAAACACCTATAGTTCGATCTCCTGCCCAATACGAACTTGGGCCTGAGAGTACAGATCGATTGTAGTTCCGACTACAATGTCCAAGCCTTCGTCCTGGGCCGCGACAAACTTACCTAGTCCCCTTTCTTTGGATTGTTGACCGACAGGTAGTGGTACAGGACCACGAGCAGGAAGAGCGACACTCCGAGGGCGTTTGCAAAGACCGCTAGCTGGACGTCGGTGATCATCGTGCTGCAAAAAAGAGATACGGTTTCGTGATACGGAGCGGTCCGGTTCCAGCACGACCGGCGTCTCCAAATTACGAGTTGTAGGCCGAGGTTAGTAGCCAAAATGCATGGTATGGTTGCACAAGGGGGCCCGAATGATCGCGCTCCAATAGTTGATAAAGCATTCTGGGTCTCCCAACATGTGGAAAGCTCTTCTTTAGGCCAGAATTAAAGGGCATGCCGAGATGTCTACGTGTACCGCCTAGCCAGCAAAATTTTAGCCGGTTGCTTCCAAGGAGAGTCGCACGTTACTTTTGTAGAAAGTACCGTTACTATGTAATGGCAAACCTGTTGAAGTTATTAAGCCGTTTACTAACCTGGAGATCGGAGACTGCGAAGAGTTCTCGTCAAAACAAGCTTTCGGTGTACGCGAGATGTAACGTCACCACGCCGGCCACCATGCAAGTTATCCTCGAACTCCATGCTATAATTTACGTTTTATTTTTACTACAATCAAAACTTTAAAAATTACAAAATATTTTGTTTTGAATACTTCTCGATTGATTGTGTCTTTTTTTTTTCATTTTAACTAATACTAATGTTTTACCTACTCAACTAAGATCACGTGATAATAACCAACTCTCACTAACGCAAAATGTATTGCAAACCTGACGTCACATTAGTATTTTCGCCCATCAAGGTTACTCTTTTGCTATTGAAATGCTTAACGAAACGAACGCATCTCAAAAAATAGACCACGCCAGGTGCGTTCGATTACTCAAACTTTTTGCCGCCACAAACACCGCACTGGTTCGAATATCCAAGCAACAAAAACCGCGAGCCAAGCAGTGACCCAGCGCTGCGCGGCCACCGAGAGTCACTCGAGGATTACGAGAGTCGGGCAAGTGTGGGTGCCGAGGCGGGAACAAAGGAAATGGCGGCATGTGGAAAGCGCCCTTTGTCCGCGCTGAATGGGTCCCGTTTGTGCGCTGGCGGCGGGGCGAAGGGGGTTTGTTGACGGAAGTTTTTTGTGCGCGCTTGTGCCCGAGGAGTGCCCGCCCAGGGATTACGGATTACCATTGATCTCCGCCGGTCCGTTTAGGACGCGACAAACACGGGTGAGTTGTTCGGACAGATAGTTTTATCGCTCGGCTTTGGTGGCGGACTGACTCCGAAATATTTGAGCGAGCGCGCGCGTGATTCCGCTGAGCGCTTTCTTTGATGTCGACGTCGGAATGCTAGGGTTAATCACATTCCAGCGCACCCCGCTTCCCTCTATTTTTTTGTGAGCGAGAAATTCCGTATGCTGGCTTCGTTTGTTTCCTCCTTGGGAAGTTGAATTACGCGGTAGTGTACTCAGCAACTGGTGTTTGATTCTAGGAGCATTTCGCGTTCCGGATTTGTTTTGGATCAGATGGCGCGTATTTGCAATATTCAATTTCGCGACGGGACGCTTGCTTCGTTTCGTTTTGTTTTCTTGCATCTGAGAATTCGAAAGGGCTCGAAGATCTCGACGAAACAAACTTGTTTGTGGTGTAGCAGAGCCCCAGTATGATCACCTATGATCTCTTTGTTTTAAGTCGTTGGGTGAGTGTTGCCATATCTTCGTGGCTGCTGTGTCTCTGTCGATGCTTATGGGGACAAAAGCGATCTTCGCGTCCTTTGAGGACAATGGAAACATAGTGACTCGCCGACGTGGTCGCTTTATGCTCCAAGTTGTTCCTCGCGTGAGAGCGTTGCTGGTTTTGCTCCACCGGGTAGTGGCTTGTTGGTGTCTACGCGACGTGCTCGCATTCCGCCCGATCAAGTAGTATTATCATTGTGCGATGCTCTTTCTAAAACATTCTAATTCTGGGTTGATAAGATTAAGAACCAAGTCTTAATTTGTGGCCTTGTTTTTAGAGAAACGTTCGTCCCAGTCACTTTGATCGGATTCCCAAGCCGCATTTCGTTTTGGGACCCCTTTTCGGGGGTCATTGACCCCCGCGGTGCGATGCATGTACGGGGGTCACGATGCTTCAAAGTTGAGCCGGTTGCGACATCCTTTTTATAGCACTTTACATTGGCTAACGATGGGTGAATTTTAATGTTACATGCCAATAGTTGATCCCATTTTAGTGCGATCTCTTCTTGCGCAAATAAATTTAACCGTGCCTGTTGATTGGTCGAAGTTTTGAGTTGTATTCGTATTGTTGTATTTATCGGACCCAGCTTTCGAAAACTGCGGTTTCCGCTTTAAATGTATTTAAATACAAAAAGAACGAAACACTTTTTTTTTTTTTCGCTTATTGATATTTTTAAACACATTTTAGTTTAGCGTCGGAGGCATTTGGTGTCTAACTCTTCGTGTTCTCCATCGGAATTCAGATTTGTTGCGTACGCCCAGCCGTGGCTAGGGCCCAGCTATCGTAAGGGGCAAATAATAATAATTGTTCAGCATTCGGACGATATGTCATTTAGTTTTTCGATGTAACGTAACAGTTGTCACCGGCCATTTGTACATTCCTGTCACAACTTCTTTTTGTTGATCCCTGTGACTGTATGCTGTGTTTTTTTATATCATGCCTGCGTGTGTTCGACGGGGCGTCAGTGGAATAGGGCCGGCCTTGCTGTCGCTTCATTTGGCGATGAGGGGGAAGTGGCTCGTTTGATGAGGATGCTGCAGATGGGCTTCCTTTCGTCGGACTTGCCGATACTGCCACACGGTTGTGCTTTGTTTGTTGTGCCGCCATTGATTTGTCTGCTTTGAAAGAGATAACGGTTACAATCGTTCTCGCATCGGTAAATTCCGTGGCAGTGCCCATGAGAAGTGAATTGTTCAATATGCCCGATGGTGGTGTCATTTAATAATTCTAATCACGTTCCTTATATATATATATATATATATATTAAGCGTACATTTTACATTTCATGCTTTCATCGTAGACTTGGTATCTGACGCCACGGCCACTCGATAGTCGATACCCTCCTCTCCGAGAGGCCGAGGTGATGCATGGCTAAACTGTAACTTGCCCACACACACACACACACACAAAAAAAAAAGCCACAAAACTTGCATTTGCTTGTGTATGGCTTGCGTTTTTAACGTTTTACCCAATTTCAAGTGGGTGTGCGTGTGCGCGCGCGCGCGTGTGTGTGTTATTGTTCCATTAACAGTGGTTCATTACCAGCTCTTCTGTTCTTGACTTTTTTAGTGTCACTTCACATAACGTACCAGATTCCATTTGTTATGCTGCTGAATCGTCGACTGGGTAACTCTGTTCCTGCGCTGTGATAATTGCTTAGCTCTGCCTGCTACACTCGCAACAATATCGCTCATTGTGTGATGGTCGGTTTGGCGTTGAGTGCGCCGCGCACCGGTACGTTCCGGAGAAGTGACACCCGCAGAGAAGCCATCGCTATCCTGCGCGTGTGGCTTCGCCGCAGCGAGGCTGCACACTTAGGGGAAGAGCGCTCCTCCGGTGTGCTTCCGCAGCTCGTGCTGATGTGACAACTCTGCCTTGGGAAAATAAAACCACGGCTAGTACGCACGACAGAGAACATTATATTCTGATGTATAGCGTGCATTGTCGATTGTTACATTTGTTACTTGGGTATATAGATAAAAGACTTGTACTGGGAAGCACTGTTGGTTTTGTTTCTATGTTCAAACCAGAACGATATGGAGGAGCTTGTGTTCCGTCTCGTGCACCCCGAGCGCGCGCGCGCGCAGCCAGTGCACCCCAGAAGGCGTGGAGCACGTGCTGAAGGTCGGGCGTTCGAAAGGTGCTCCCTACCGTTCTTATTTTATGGTTGACTATGGCATTAACACCCTAATTATTACTAGTTAGGGCCTCCCAAGTGGTAAGCCATGTAGCGCCGTGGAGAGCCTGAATGCTGCCAGGGATCGAGCGCCATGCGACTGGATGGATGCTAACGGCTGTACCCTTCATAACGGGCGGTAGCTTGCGCCACCTAGCCTAGAAATTAAGGACTAAAAGTATGATGTCCATGGCCTCCGAGATCACGAAGCGCGCTCTCGGAGGCCATGATGATTTCTTTCTTTCGCCAAATAGCTTACCGTCTGCAATTTTGTGACTATTACCAGGCGGGGTGGGATATCACCAGGATGACGTTTGGGAGATCGGGCAAAAAAAAAAAAAAAACTAAGAACATCGCCCCCCGCCTCTTTCTCACGGTGAGGGAGTCGCCAACTTTCCTCTGGTCAAATCTAGTCGGCGTTACCCCGACTGGGAGAAGGGGGGAGGCGTTGGGCCAGAGCCACGTGGGAAGTAGTCCCAAGTTTCCTCTCTCCCGCCCGTCCTCAGTTGTGTCAGTTGTACGTCATTCGATTCTCCCTGGATAGTTTCCACCAGTCTTCCATTCTTTCCTTTGTTATTAAAATGCACTTATCATTCATTTTTCAATTCTCGTCTGCGAAACCCCAGCGCTCCGGCTAACTCCGTCGCCCTCTCCGGCAGAGCGGGATCAAGCCCTGTGCACCTCAACACATACCTCTGCAAACCTCACTCATGAGGGCCCTCACTCACCCTCATCCTCACAGGTGAGGTGAGGGTGAGTGAGTTTCTGAACCAGGAAAATTCATGAGTGTGAGGGTGAGTGAGGGCCGTGAGGGCGGTGAGGGGTATGAGGGTCATGAGGGCGGTGAGTGGCGTGAGGGCCATGAGCGCGTGAGGGTGGTGAGTGCGTGAGGGGTGTGAGGGCCATGAGTGCGTGAAAGCAGTGAGTGGCATGAGAGGCGTGAGGGCCGTGAGGGCGGCGAGTGCATGAGGTGGTGTGAGGGCCATGAGTGCGTGAGGCCCCCTTCAGATCGAGCATCTGTCTCAGCAATTTTGTTGTTAATGACGGGTTGTTCTCTAGCTTTCCCTTGATCGACACGAATTGCTGAGATCGGGTCCGGCTCGAAATAAGCAAGCAACTCGGAGCAATTCGAATACGTTTGAAGCGGCTGCATCCAATCAGGGACGCAAAATTTTCACGTGATACCTCGTGCCGGTAATGATGACACCGAAAGACTTGGTTCTGGTTTGAAATCGATCGTTTTTTGGAAATAAACTGTTTCAGAAAGGTGCATTGGTATTCTTAATGGGCGGTGAGTGGCGTGAGGGCGGTGACGCCGGTGAGTGGCGTGAGGGCGGTGAGGGCCGTGAGGGCCATGAGTGAGCGGGGGCGTGAGGGCGGTGAGGTTCAGTGAGGGTGAGTGAAGGGCTGAAGGTGAGTGTGACTGAGGGTGAGTGAGGGGCTCAAGGTGAGTGTAGCTGCGAGGGTGAGTGAGGGGCTTAGGTGAGTGTGGCTGTGAGAGTGAGGGCGACCTAAAATGCCGACCTCTGCCTCAACACCGCATGTTCTATTAACGAGTATCAGTAGACCGTGTTTCCCCCTCCGCTCAGCCTCTTCGCTACCCGAAACTCTACAGCCAAGGCCATCGGCGCGCAGGCGCAGTGGCGGTTTCTTCGTAGCGGAGGGCTAGCGGAGGTGAAAACACGGTCTACTGAAACTTGCTTTTGTCTCCTCCTCCCCTCTGCATACGGCACAGCGCGTGTCCATTTCCCCATACTTTGCCATATATGTGCTAGTCCTCAATTCTCCTGCTCTAGCCTCGAATGACAACGAGCTCCCCCGTGAATTATCACACCCATATTCATTCTTCGTTTTCTGTCTTTTTACCCCTATACATAGTTAAAACTGATTTTCCC